CACGCACTCTCACACGCACGCACTCTCACACGCACGCACTCTCACACGCACGCACTCTCACTCGCACGCACTCTCACGCGCGCACACACGCTCCCACACGCGCGCACACACACTCCCACACGCACGCACACACACCTCCCACAGCACATTTCCTACAATATAAAGTGTGTGGTTCTGTGATTTTTTTTCCAGAGTGAGTACTTTGCGTTGGGTCTTCTATTGCTTTGATTGTATCTTTTGCATTCAAATATTTTGCTTTTGGACTATAATGAATGCAATTCCTGATTTCATGTGTACCTGTCAAACTTTCTGACTGTCGAGTCAATGAACGTTCTAGGGAGCTCTGCCGTGATTTTATCTGTCATGTCCTCAAAGATGAGTTTGCACATCCCATGTGGACCATGGAATTGCACACTTGGTGAATGTGACAAACTTCTTCAGGAATGATCTGCACTTCATTCACCCCATTCAGTTGTTTCTTGTTTGAGTTGTTGATGCATGAATACACCTTTGGTCTGCTTCCCTTTAGATGCCATTATTCTAATTTATCAATATTAAATTAATAACCACAGAATTATCTTGATCAGTTTATTGCCCTTGCAGTAGCGTTAGATATTACATTTATCTGGTATTCCAAGAAACCATCGTACAGCTTTGTGATCATTCTGTAGGTAGTAACCTAAAATTTGCTGGGTTAGCTGAAATTAAATGAAATGAGAAGAAATGAAGCATGAAGTTTGCCTTTTTGATAAAGTCAAGCAACCCTGGTGATGACCTAATGATTATTAAGGCACTGCTTTTAACGTGTTTCTGTGTTTTGCTGAAGGAATATGTGTATGTCTATATTAAGCGTTGTGACTCAGTGATAATGAAAGGAACTGTCACAGCACCTCTGGACAAGCTGGAGCCTTGGTTTGAAAGCCGACCAGGTTATTAGCTGCGATAATGAAAATTATTATCAGCTAAATTTGTGATTGTGCAGTGTAAATATCATACAGTTGATTAGATGACACGAAAGTAGTAAGGAAATGGTTTATTTGCGTAGCCTGAACAAGCTGGCTTGAAGTTAGATATCGGTAAGTCCCAGAGGTAAGCCTTTTTCCAGGGAGACGCAAACAAGTCTTGATGAGCAATTAATCAAACTGGCCATGCTATATATTGAATTATACTGCTGAGAACTTATAAATTAGTTAGTACGTTTGAATAAATAAAACCTAGATTTTTGCTTATTGAAAAGTTCAGGTATTTTCAGTGTTTATAATTGCAAACAGGAATTAGCTTTATTCCCACTGAATTGGCTCGTAAGAATGTGCTTAAATTGTGTCTGAGATTGATTATGAACCTCAAACTTCCTTTTTTTCTCCGCTGCCCTAAAAGTTGTTAGTGCCTTGTCAGGTAACTTTCCCATTTATCCCATTCAATTTAGTGGCAGCTATTCATATGTAAACCACAGGTGGTTATTTCACTAGGGTGGAAATTGATATTACTGTCTAAAATCAGTACAGATAAGGATTTTAGTTTTTTTTGCCCTTTCAGTTGGTTAAAGCAGAACTCATTGCTTTAACCAACCGGCTGAGGTGGGCATTAACATAAAATGCTGTGGCCACCTGACGACCGAGCATTGCTTTCACATTGGAGTAGAACATAAATATAAAAAGGGAAGCTAAAAGTAGTAAACATATTAAAGAAGACCTTTCCTACTTTTTGTTGTGAAAAATGTCACTATCCAAATGTTATATATTGCTTTGAACTCTGCACTATTTGTCTTTATGCTATTTTGGAGTGTGTACCATTTTCATAGTGCAGAAATATTAAATGTAATTTCACATTTGAATTTCTCATCTTGGGCAGGAATATTTTTTTGGGTGAAACCTTCTCGAGCTACATCAGTGTACACAATGACAGCGTGCAAGTTGTTAAAGATATTTTGGTTAAGGTAAGACAATGATATTATACATCTGATTTACTTACAGGAAAAAACATCTTTAAGCGCATTCCATTTTCTTCAACCTGGCATAAGCAAGATTTTTGTGACAATAATAAGCAAATTTCTTGGATTTCAGTACCATGTGATTGTTGGTGGGTGACATTTTTGTACTGTTTCCATTAGTACCAACAACATTTGGAAGTGCAGTTCTAGTTTAGCCTTGCAAGCTTGGGCTATGTTTGAAGAAAGCATTTTAAGCAGTATATTTTTATGATAAATTACTCCTTTGTTCAACGTTTCATCGGTATCTGACATATTGATCAAGTTTATTGATTGACTTATAATGAACTTGAGGATTACTAGTAACTAATTGCTAGAGTTATTTTATTCAAAAATGCTTTTGCAATGTTAGTTATTAACGTGGTCAGATCCAGTCACACCATGTAGCTAAAGATGTCAGTCATGCCTCTTGCCCTAAAGTCTTGTATCTTGATATTTGGTTTCTCTAGGACAAAAGAAGTTTGGATCAAATGACCTTTTTCTGTTCTTTGTGATCATAGAGCAGTTTTCATTGGAACATTTAGCAATATCATAGAAGTAGTTCGTAATTACAAATATGTCTAAAATTCAGATATGTGATTACTTCTCTCTGTGCACCCCCCTCCCCCTACCCCCAATACTCCCCACACTATGGGTTTCAGAAGTTTTTCTTTTTTCTTTTTATTTCCTTTTCCTTACCTCAACTATTAGCTGTTTGGCCAAAGTGCTTCCTTAAAGTAAATTGGCAGGAAACCATTGACAGGATAGGAATTGGGACATCATGTTGCAGCTGTATACAACATTGGTGAGGCCACTTTTGGAATAGTGCATACAATTCTAGTCACCCTTCTATAGAAATGATGTTGTTAAACTTGAGAGGGTGCAGTAAAGATTTACACGGATGTTGCCAGGACTGAAGAGTTTGAGCTATAGGGAGAGGCTGAATAGGATGGGGCTTTTTTCCTTGGAGTGTCGGAGATTGAGGTGTGACATAATAGAGGTTTATAAGATCATGAGGGGTATGGATAGGGTGAATAGCCAAAGTATTAATCCCAGGGTGGGGGAGTCAAAACTAGAGGGCGTAGATTTAAGGTGAGAGGGGAAAGATTTAAACGGACCTAAAGGGTAACTTTTTCGCGCACAGAGTGGTGCGTGTATGGAACAAGCTGCCAGAGGAAGTGGTGGAGGCCTGGTACAATTATATTTAAAAGGCATCTGAATGGGTACATGAATAGGAAGGGTTTAGAGGGATATGGGTCAAATACTGGCAAATGGGACCAGGTCACATTGGGAGGGCTGGTCAGTGCAGATGAGTTGGACCGAATGGTCTGTTTCTGTGCTGTATGACTCTAGTTGCTTGAGTTTACTTACAACCTTGTCTGTCTTTGGGTTGGTTGAAATTAATTTGTGGTGTAAGGGAACTTTCAGCTGCAAACCTGTATCTGGCATTTGCTGTATCCACTGAATTACTTAACTCATCACCTCTTTTTGTAACAGTTTCTCATATGTTAAGTGGAAGAGAGTTTTTAAAAGCAAAAGCTATGGATAATTTAGGGAACTTTTGTTTACCTGTTTATCCTTTTAAACAAGGCTGATCTTCAAACCAGCTCTCAACGTTTAAACCTATCAGCTTCAAATGCTGCAGTGGCTGATCTTAAACCTGACCGTTGCATTGATGATGTGATTCACCATGAAGTGAAAGAAATTGGAACACACATGTAAGTTCTATATTTCTATTAAAAAAAAAGACTGAAAATAAACATGTATTAAAAGATCTACCTAATGACCATAGCACTGGTATGTTCTTTTGAGTGTGAAAGGATCATAATTCAGGGCATAAGTGTGAAGCTACAAGGACATTTTGTATGAGTGCTCAGGCAGATCATTATATTTTGGAAAAGATGACCCTTTGCATCTCGCACGGTTGCAGAATTTTGTAAACTGCACCCAACAGTTAAATGACAATTCAACAACTGTGACGTTTTTCAGATTGATGAGATGTTTATGTTGCTGATTTGATATGTTTTGTAATTTTAATCTTTTGATTTATCATTGATCACCATAAGTGTTATACAAGTATTATATAGAGGCCATCAAATAGGTTTTAACTAGCATTTTAAATAGCAAGTTATTTCAACAACTTATTACCCTTTGAGGCAAAACAAACCTTATCCCTATTGTTTCATGTTCATCACTAAGTTAATTGTCAGGCATGGCTCAGTTGGTAGCCTCTGAACCATAAAATTCTGGGTTCACGTCCCACTTCAGGATTTGTGCGCACATATCAAGGCACTTTAGTATTGAGGGAGTGTGCAGTGTTGGAGGTGCTGTCTTCTGGATGTTAAACCAAGGGTCAGCCTGGCCTTTACCAGGTTGTCAATTAATGTAGCACACTATGTTCAGGTTTACTCATATATTGTATGGTACAACACTTCAAAAGTACTTAATGGAATCAAAAACCTTATATAAAAGCAAGTTTCTTTTTCTAATTTCTATTTGGCCCCAGTGGACTGGGTAGAAAGACTAAAAGGTCGGACACTTGAACAGTGGCAGACATTTTGGGAGATATTCAATTCCTCCCAACTAAAATATATTCTAGAGAGGAAGAAAGATTGTAAGAGAGAGGAAAAAAACATCCATGACTAAGCAAGGAAGTCCAAGATAACACAGGGAAAAACTAAGGCATACCATGTCTGTAGCAGGCTGCTGGATTGGGAAACTTTAAAAGTCCAACAAAGGGTTGCTTAAAAAAAGTAATAAAAAGAGGAAATGTTAATTATGCAAAGCCTAGCACAAAACAGAAAGAAGTTAGCAAAAACTTTTACATGTATTTAAAAGGAAGAGAGTAGCTAAAGTGAATGTTGGTTCTTTATGGGACCAGACTGGGAAGTCAGTAATGGGGAATACAAATGGCACAGACTTTAAATCAATATTTTTGTTCCATTTTCAGGGTGGAGGACAATGAAACCATCCTAGTAATAGTAACAGTTAATGCAGATGTTATAGGAAAGGAGGAACTTAAAGCAATCACCACCATTAGGGAAAAAGAACCGAGCAAATTATCGGGATTAAAGACAGACAAGTTCCTAGTGCTTAATGGCCGACTTCTAGGGTTTTAAAGGAAGAGGCAGTGGAGGTAGTGGATTTAAAGTTTTTGCGAAGATTTGTAGCTTGGATTGTGGATGAGGTTGAAGACTTGCTCGCTGAGCCAGCGTGTTTGGTTGCAGATGTTTCATAATATTGTCAGTGTGCCTCCAGTGAAGTGTTGGTGTTCTGCCCCTCTTGTTATTTATATGCCTCGGTTTGCTGGCATGGTTGGCACTACTTCCAGTTCTGTTTTTCAGTGATTTGTATATCGGGTTCAGTTCAATGTGTTTGTTGTTGCTTCGAATGCCAGGCCTCCAGGAATTCCCTGGCATGTCTCTGTTTGGCTCGTGCTATTATCGATGTGTTGTCCCAGTCAAATTCCTGTCCTTCTTTGTGTATTGAGACCGGTGAGAATTGGTCATGTCTGTTGGTGGCTAGTTGGTTTTCATGTATCCTTATTGTCAGTTTTCTGTCACTTTAGCCAATGTAATGTTTTTCACAGTCCTTGTATGGTATTTTGTATAATTATGTTAGTTTTATTGGTTGTGGGTATGGGATCCTTTACGTTCGTCAGTAGCTGTCGCAGGTTGGTTGTTGGTTTGTGGGCTACTCTGATGCCTAGGGTTCTGAGTAGTCTTGTGGTTATCTCTGATATGTCTCTGATGTACGGTAGGTTGACTCGTGTCTCTGGCCGTGTTGTGCCTTCTTGTTGTGGTCTGTCGTAGGGGTAATGGCGGATTGTGTTTTTTGGGTATCCATTCCTTTTAAAAACTCTGTATAAGTGCTCCTGTTCTGCTTTGCACAATTCCGGATTGCTGCAGTGTGTTGTGGCTCGTTTGAATAATGTCCTGATGTAATTCTGTTTATGGGTGTTGGGACGGTTGCTACAGTAATTTAAGTATCTGGTCTGTATGTGTGGTCTTTTGGTATATGCTTGTCTGGAGTTCCCCGTTGTTCTTATGTTCTACCATTTTGTCCAGGAAGGGTAGTCGTTTATTATTCTATTCTTCTTTTGTGAAGTTTATTCCAGTGAGGACGTTCTCTTTGTGTTGGTGGGTTTCTTCTAGTCTTGTGTGTTTGATAATCATGAACATGTCATCTACATAGCGGACCCAGAGTTTGAGTTTTATAGTGGGGAGCACTGTTCATTCTAACCTTTGCACTACCGTTTCTGCAATCGGTCCTGATGTTTTGGATTGCATTGGTGTTTCGTTGATTTGTTTGAATATATGTTCATTGAAGGTGAAGTGGGTTTCATGGGATGCCTGCCTTGCTGATTCGTCCAGCAGTGCGGCAATTGTCTTTTTAGCTAGGTCAATGTTTATAGATGCAAATAGTACTTTTACGTCAAAGGATATCATTATCTCATCCTCTTCTATTCTGGTGTCCTTGATGTTGAGGAATTCTTGGGAGGAGTAGATGGAATGGGTAGTGTTGTCAACTAAGTATTTCAGTTTCTGTTATGGTTCTTTGGTTAGTCTATATGTTGGCGTGCGAGGCAGTGAGACAATGGATCTAAGGGGCACACCTGGCTTGTGTACCTTAGGGAATCCATAGAAGCGGAGTGTGTTGGATCCCTCTAGTTTCATTTTTCGTAGTCTGTCTTGCTGATATCTCCTGAGTTGTTGTGGGGTGCCTGCCTTCCTGATTTGTCCAGCAGTGTGGCAATTGTTCCAAAATTCCTTGGATTCTGGAAAGGATTCAGTGGATTGGAAAAGTGCTAACTTAACACACTTATTCATAAAGTTGGGGAATGGGGAGGGGTCGGTGGCAGAAAGTAGGAAACCATAGACCAATTATTTTAATGTCTGTTGTTGGGAAATTGTTGGAATCCATTATTATAGAAATAGCAATGGGATATTTGGAAAGTCAAAACTCAATCCATCAAAGTCAGCATTGTTTTATGAAGGGTAAATTGTGCTTGACTAACTTGCTAGAATTCTTTGAAGATGTAACAAGCAAAGTGGATAATGGTATATCTAGATTTCAGAAGGCATTTGATAATGTGCCACACAAAAGCTTAATAAACAAGTTAAGATCACATGGGGTCAGGGGCGATATATTAGCTTTAATAGAGGATTGTCTAACTAAGAGAAAGCATAGTTGGGATAAATGGGACTTTGGTTGGCAAGTTGTAACTAGGATGATGCCACAGTGTTTGGTCCTTGGGGCTCTAACTATTTGCAATCTATATAATGACTTGGATGTAGTGATAGAGTGTACAATGTAATATATTCAGATTTTCAGGTGGTACTAAGATAGTTGGTAAAGTAAGTTGCAATTAAGAAATACAAAATTTATAAATAGAATGAATAGATTAGGTGGATGGACCAAAATTTGACAGATGGAGTTAAAGTAAATAAGTATGAGGTTATCCATTTTGGTTGGAAGAATAAAAAGTCAACTTATTATCTATACGGAGAGGAACATCAAAATGCTTTCTTGCAAATTGATTTGGATAGAAAGAAAGCTAGACTGCAGCTTCACCAAGTAATATGTAGGACAAATGGAATTTTGGAATTTATTGCCAAAGGAATAGAGTTGAAAAGTAAGGAAGTGTTGTTGCAAGTGTATAAGAATCATTAGAATCCCTACACTGTAGAAACGGGCCGTTTGACTCAACAAGTCCACACGAATTCTCCGAAGAGCATCCCACCCAGACTCACCCCCTACCCTATTACCCGATGAATTCCCATGGCTAATCCACTTAACCTACTCATACCTGGACACTATAGACAATTTAGCATGGCAAATCCACCTAACCAGCACATCTTTGGACTGTGGGAGGAAACTGGAGCACCCAGAGGAAACCCACGCAGACATGGGGAGAATGTGCAAACTCCACACAGACAGACGCCTGAGGCTGGAATTGAACTCTGGGTCCCTGGTGCTGTGAGGCAGCAGTGCTAACCACAGAGCCACGATGTAATTACATTGGAGAGAGTTCAGAAAACGCTCACTTGATTAATTCCAGAAATCGTAATTTGTACTTTTTACAAGATTCAAAAATTCACCAAAGATCCTGACATAGCGGTCTTCCAAACTCACGACCACTTCCATCTAGAAGGACAAGGACAGCAGGTTCATGGAAACATCACCACCTGCACGTTCCCTCTAAGCCATTCACCATCCTGATTGGAAATAAATCACTGTTCCTTCACTGTTGCTGGGTCAAAATCCTGCAATTCCCTCTCTCAGAGCATTGTGCGCCAACTTACATCATGTGGACTGCAGTGGTTCAAGAAGGCAGCTCACTACCACCTTCAGAAGGGCAGCTAGGGACAGGCAATAAATGTTGGCCATCAAGCAATGCCTCTGTCCCACGAATGAATAAAAAAAAAATGAAAGGCTTGCCTTATGAGGAGAGATTGAGCAGTCTAGGTGTGGTCAATTGAGTTTAAAAGAATGAAAGGACATCGAATTGAGATATGTAAGATGCTAAAGGGGATAGATAAGGTAGACATGGAGTGAATGCTAACCATTGTGGAGCTATATAGAATGTGAAATCATAGTTGTAGGCTGAGATGTGGCAGATTTAAAACAGAATTAGGAGGAATTACTTCTCTCAAAGGGTCATGAGTCTGTGGAACTCATTACCTCAGAGTGCAGTGGATGCTGGAGCACTGAATAAGTCTAAGGAGGAGATAGATTGATCTTCAATTAGTAATGGGTTGAAGGGTTATGTGGTATGGGCAGGAAAGTGAAGTTGAGGCTGAGATGAGATCAACCATGATTGTATTAAATGGTGGAGTGGGCTTGAGGGACTGATTTCCCTATTTTGGCTCCTAGTTCTTATGTTCTTATATTTACACCCTCTGATCTTACTTTTCTTATTTATCATTGAAATAATATGGGTTAAAACATTATTTTTCATAAGATATCTCTTATCTTAAACTCTTGCAACTCTCAAGATAAATCATTCAGTGTTTCTAATTTTCTTCCTACTTATCCTTGTCATACCAAGAATCAGGCTCCTGGCTCTTTGATCCACCCTATTTGATATGTAGATTCTTTCTTTGCGATATGGTGACTACTGGGAAACAAATTGTATATTTAAATCGAGGCACACGTGACTTTTTAAAATATGTGAATCAAACACCTTTCTGTTGTATCCACATGGGTTGGTGCCATGCAGGTTGCTGGATTTGGTACTTAATCAAATCTTGCTTGTTAAGTTTATGATGAACACATCATTTGTTATGTATGAGATAGCTTATTCTATTTATTGATTTATTTTTCCACTTGTCTTTGTTTTTGCAGCTTAGTTTGTGCAGTCAGCTATACCACACAAGCTGGAGAAAAGATGTACTTTAGAAAGTTCTTCAAATTTCAGGTAGTATTTGTAAATTCTGTACTGAACTCTTTTTAAAATGTACAGAATGTGGCCAATTTGTTATTTTTCATGTAATAATTTATTTCCATATCTTTTTCTTTCAAATGAATTTTTAAATTGACCAATTTTTAAACTGAAGTTTTGGTCAACTGTTCTGATTACTTTGCTTGCAATGTGCACAAAATTGAGCAATGAAACATGCTACACAAAACATTCAAATTACTTCAGAGATAGTAGGAACTGCAGATGCTGGAGAATCAGAGATAGTAGGAACTGCAGATGCTGGAGAATTCAAATTACTATTTATTTCTCGATGCAAGTTGAGCAAATATATTTTTTCACAAAAATCCTTGGTGTTATTTGGGTTTCCAGATTGAAATAAAACATGATATTCAAGCTGAATGGAAATTGTCAGGCAAAACAAGCATTTCCTTCCTTAACTAAAAATACATGCTTTTAGTTTAAAATCCATTGATATATATTACATAGAAATTAGTTGTTGACAGGATCACAGGATGTTAGAGATATGGATAATTCAGATCATCTTAATCCACTACACAGAACAATACTGCACCTTCTGCTCTGTCCTCCCCCACCATGTTCTTAAATGGATTCAGGATTTTCACCTTCACTCGTCTTCCTGGAAGCTCATTGAAAGCCTTTGCCCTCAAAGTACAGCTTCCTTTTACTAGTTCTAAAGTTAGAATTTATTAGGTTGAGCTGTGGTTCTCCAAAAGTAAAAGTTCACATGTGTATAGAAACTTTACCTTTGTATAATATCTTGAGTTGATTTACAGAAGTGTTATGAGTATAATTTAATGCCAAGCCATTTAAAGAAATATTAGGCAGCTGACGAAAAACTAAATTGTGGAGAGAGCACTTAAGAAGCTTTTTAAATTGAACAGATTTAACAGCTCCAATGTAGGCATCCATGAGACACTGTTAACATTAGCAACAGCAGAAATGTGTTTCCCCCAGCTCTCAGATCTCATAGAGTAGCATATGCTACACTCTTCCATTACAATCCAGCCAGGGGTCCAACACGAATTCAGTGAGGAGGCTGTGATAACATGCCAATACCAGCATTACTTGTGTCTTAAAAACAAGTGAAACTACTTAACAGCCCTATACGCATGCCAAACTGCAAAAGCACCATGCTGTAGATAAAGCTAAATGATCCCATAGCTAGAAAATCAGATCAAACCCTGCAGTTCCTTTTCAAACCAGTGTGAATGTTGGTGGCAGTGGCTTCATGAGCATTCACATCCTCAACAATGTTGAGATCCCCCAAACACCACCCCCCCAGCCCCTCCAAAACCCGACATCACCACAAAAAGACTAGACTGAAGAGTTTGCAATCACCTTAAATTACAAGTGCGGAAAGGATAAACATACTCAGCCTTCCTCCTGAGGACCCGTAGAAGCTAATTCACTCAAACTGGTGTCAAGCTCAGGCTGTTAACACCAACACCTACCCTGAATATCGTGTAAACCTCAGCTATTTTTGGCATGTTCAGTATCAAAGTGAAGTATATCATTTTCTCATTCTAATCCTTCTTCCAGCATTATTCATACCATTATTTTCTGCTTTGCATTAATTGTTCCTATTTGTAAGTGAATTGGGAGAAGAGTTCAATAAAATCTTAAAGATAATTTAGAATCAAATGAGAGGTGACATGGTTTGATAAGATTAGTTCAAACTTGTTGGCTTAGTTATAAGTCACAATTACTGCATGAAAGTTATATTCAACATAATACTTAAAGGCAGTAAGGCTGAACTTGAAAAACTAGAAATCTTACTAACAAGGATCCAGTCCTTCCAATCTGAGTGGGGAACCCTCTTTCCCACTTAGGTTTGGATGGGTTCTTTGTTCAGCACACTGACATCACAGGGAAACCATGAGTTGATTGGTTGTTGACCAGCTACTGTTTTCAACTCCAGTAATCTTGAAATACAGAAATGTTTAAAAGTAGAGGAAAAGTAAAAATTTATAGGCACAGGAAAGTGAGCTGGTTTGTGGTAAGGGTGAGGAATTTCTATTTTTTACAATATCAAGTGGAGAGCTGGCACTTGTACAAACCAGATGATTTGCAACTGAACAGAGCCAAAACTGAGTTCCTTGCAGATATTTTGCTGATGCTTTTGGGAAGGGTCTAAACTAACTCAACAGGATTGTAGGAACCAAGAGAGAAAATAATACTACAGTGCACAAAATAAAGGGAGAGACAGAACTAGAATTGAGAATATTAAGTTAATAGGTGAAGCCAGAGTGAAAGAAAATAATGAAGTCCAAATCATTACTCTGCATGTTTGTGAATGCAAGGAGTATAGTTAATAAGGAGCAAAAATAGAAGTTGCTGGAAAAGCTCAGCAGATCTGACAGCATCAGTGAAGAAAATTCAGAGTTAACGTTTTGGGTCCGGTGACCCTTCCTCAGAACTGAGATAACAAGGTGTAGAGCACAGCAGGCCAAGCAGCATCAGAAGAGCAGGAAAGCTGCTTGGCCTGCTGTGTTCATCCAGCTCTACACCTTGTTATCTCAGATTCTCCAGCATCTGCAGTTCCTACTATCTCTTCCTCAGAACTGTTTTGGTTTGTTCCTAGATGTATATCAATGTAACAATCAAGAATAAATTATTATGGTAGAAGTTTAAAAATGTATGCAGATCTCGGGTACCTGTAAAAACATCATGAAAATCATTACTGTATTATTTTTGTTATCAACATTTTTTTTTTAAACTAATGGAATGTGGGCATTCCTGGCTGGGCCAATATTATTGCCCATGCCTAGTTGCCCTTGAGAAGGTGATGGTGAGCTGCTTTCTTGAACTGCTGCAATTGAGGTGCTGCAGGTATGTCCATAATGCCATTAGGGAGGGAATGTGGGGAAAATGCAGGAGATTGACATTAGATAATGCAGACAGTGCAGGCACGATGGGCCGAATGGCCTCCTCATGCACTATAAACTGTAATAATTCCATGAATGAAAATGATGGCACCAACGGAGCAATCGCAGATATAACTCTGAGGAACGTTAACTCTGATTTATTTTCACAGATGCTGCCAGATCTGCTGAGCTTTTCAAGCAACTTCTGTTTTTGTTGCTGATTTACAGCATCCACAGTTCTTTCGGTTTTTATTTTAAGTTAATAAGATTGGGGAGTGACAGACACATTGCCATTGGGGATTATGATGTTGTGGCAATGCTGATGTATTATATATAGATATTAAATGTGCCTGGCTGCAAGGTGTTTAGGAGAGGTAAGGAAACGAAGGCATTTTTGGTTCAGGAGAGCACTGCTAAATTGGAGAAAGAGGATGTCCCAGAGCATTCAAGGACAGAATCAAAGTCCCTAGAGCTAAGGAGCCAAAAGGGTGCAGTTACATTGCTAGGTGTCATCTATAGACTACCCATCTGTGGGAAAGACATAGATGAACAATCTGCAAGAAAATTCTATTTAAGTGCAAACCATAGTGTATTTATAATGTGAGACTTTACTGATCAAATATAGACTAGGACAGTGGTAATGCATTCTTGCATTGTGTTCTGCAGAATATCTAACAACCTTGTGTGACCTGTCCAGCAAGAAAGGACCATGAAAGAACAAGGTTGGACTGGGTTCTTTGGATTGAGATGGATCAAGTGACAGTGGGGGAATCTTTTAGGTGACAGTGATCTTTTGTGTCATAAAGTTGGGGGTGTTGGTGGTGAATGATAATAAGGAATATAGAGTAACAGTAATTAACTGGTAGAGAGCTGACTTCAGTGGGGCGACAATGAAGTTTGGCTGCATAGATCGGAATCAAAGGTTGTTAGGGAAAACATTAACTGAATTAATGGGTCACCATCAAAGAAGAGATGGCTTGGATACAGGCAAGGTATATTCCCTCAAAAGAGAAAATTAGGGCAAACAAATCCAGAGCTTCCTCAGTGAGAAAGGAGATACAAATTTAAGGGTGAGAAAGTGTGTTATGTCAAGTGTCACATGGAAGATATGATTAGGAACCAAGCTAAATACAGAAGGTTCAAAAGGGAACAAATAAAAGAAGTGAAGATGGACTACAAAAAAATTATTGGCAGATAACATAATGTGAAATCCAAAGTCTTTGCTATGCGCGTTAATAGTAAAAGGGTCATAAAAAGAGGAGTAGGACTGATTAGGGAATAAAAACATGATTTGAAGGAAGGAAGAAGGCATGGTTGAGGAGTCAAATGAATTAGTTGCATCTGTCATTATTTACGGGGCAGATGCTGCTGAGGCCATAGTGACAGAGGAGGAAATTCCTTCATGAGATGTGTTTAAAATTGATAAGAATGGGATTTTTGCATAAACCATCAGGACCAGATGAGTTGAATCCAAGGATATTGAAGGAAGTGAGAGTAGAAATTGCAGAGACACTAACAGAAACCTTCAATCTTCATGTGATTAGAGAGTGGTGGCAGAGGATTGGAGGATTATAAATGTTAGGCCCTCGTTTTTAAAACTTATAAAAGATAAGCCCAGCAATTACAGACCAATCAGTTTAACTTCAGTGTTGGGGAGACTTCTAGAAACAATTATTCAGGATAGGGTTAATAGTAAAATGAAAAAATGAGTTCAGAAAAGCCATCATGGACTTGTTGAAAGAAAATTGTGGCTGAAGTTTTTTTAAAGTCATAACAGAGAGGGTCAATGAGGGCAATAGTGTTAATGTGGTGTACGTAGACTTCCACACGGCCTCTGATACAGCACTACATAATAGACTTGTAGGGAAAGTGTGAACTCAATAACGGGGATAGTAACATGTTGTGGTTACAAAATTGAGTGATAAGAAACAGAGCAATGGTTAATGGATATTTTTTGGTTTAGAGAACGGTGTGTAGCGGAGTTGTCAGATTTGGAAACTTTGCTTTTTCTGAGATATATAAATGTTTTAGTTCTTTTTGTGTAGGGGACAATTTCACGTTTGTGGTTGTTACGAATCTTGGGAGCATTATAAACTGAGGAGGTCAGTGTAAGATCTCAAAAGGGCCATTGGCAAATTGGTGGAGAGGGTGGATAGGTGACCAGTGACATTCAGTGTGGAGAAGTGTGAGGTAATGCATTTTGGTACAAAGAACATGGAATGACAGTACAAAATAAATTCAATGATTCTAAAGAATGTGAAGAAGCACAGAGACCTGAGTGTATATGTACAGAAATCATTCAAAGTAGGAAGGCAGGTAGAGTAATGCATACAGTATTCTAGATACAGTTCTGAAGACATTTTGGACTCCGTGTTAACACTTTCTCTCTCTGCATTTGCTGCCACACCTGTTGAGTTTCTCCAGCGTTATCTATGTTTGTTACAATATTCCAGGTGTTATTAACAAGGGCCTAGAGTACAAGAATATTGAGGCTATACTGAGCCTAGATGGGACACAAGTTAGTCTTTACTTGGAGTATTGTGTACAGTTCTGGGCGTAATACTTAGAAACGATATAAATGCATAGGAAAGAATGTAGAAAGGGTTTACAAGAATGATTCCAGATGTGATTTATATATTTTTAAGTATCATTTATTTTTGAGTTTGGATTTTTAATATTTGAACTAGTGGCATATCGATTTTCTGCCTGTCTGAAGGGGCTTAATGATTAACTTGGGTAAGTATTCTGTAGCCATTGCAATTTCTTTTAAAGCTGTCTGAGAGTGATAGCTTCCAAGAGCTAGTGGATCTTCTGTTTCTTTTGGAGAGTTTTTATGACCGATCAAAGTAAGCAGGTTTCAGTTAGTATGTGCTGGATATTGTGTTTTTTAAGCTTGGAGGAGAACTCATGGCTTGAAAATCTGTTTAGTTTCATTTTGGCAGTTCTGCAGCATTCTTAGTTGAATGTATAAAGCAGTTGCTCCTGAGAAAGGGAGAAGAGAGTTTAGCATTGTTTTTTTAAAAATTACCTCAGTAAAGAGTTTAGTACCAGTTCCAAACCAGAATTGTTTGGTTAAAACCCTGAAGGAGGATTTGAAGCTGAGAAAATTTATGCTTTATTGTGTGAAGACTCATAGAAGAGGCTTTTAAATTCTCAAAATGGTGAGTTGAAGTCATGGTTAAATTACGCCCTATTGATGTAATAGAGGAGGGCACTGTCTGGTATGAGTACTATAAAAGGGTGCTTTTGGAATAAATAGGATTATATTTTTACTGTGTGTTTTAAAATCTTTAAACATGTGTAATATATAAATAGTTTGGTTGATTCTATTATATCTTAATTTCTTTTGCATGATAAGTTGTTTATTGTTTTTATTTAATTGTTAAAACCAACTGCAATATTGCATACTTATGACCAATTAGGATAGCAGGTAGTATGAGGTGATAGAGTGCCAGACAGGTAGGGTTGCAGATTGGTAGGCTGGCAGTTGGAGGGTTAGAGTGCCAGGTAAGTGAGTGAGAGGGTACGTCAGGGTGATTTGGGGGGTACTGTCAGAGTGGGCCCAATTGGTGAGGTTAGTCTTGTGTACTGGGCTATTTGGAATGGATTGGGTCTGGGTATGGTTAGTCCGGTAAGATCTTGCCCTAGGCAGTAGGGTCTGAAGTTTCATCTTCCTTGGTAATTACCGCTTAGTGTGTCAGGGCATCTGCATGAACCAGTCAATTTTCTTTCTAAGCTGTGTGGCTGGACCCACCTTTCAGCTGCTCGAAGCATCCATGCGCAGCGATCACTGCATTGATTTCCAGTTCCTGAAATTAGTGCTGCTCGTAGGTCTCAGAGGTTTGTGCAGAAGAAAAGAATATTAGCTGGAACACTGGTACGAGTGCACATCTTCCCTGGCACTCTGGTCTCCAATCATTCGGATACCTGAAGGTCTGGCCCATTATCATAACCAACTGCTATAGACACAATTTGAAAGTAAGAAAGTTGAAACGGACTTACGAACCTCTGTAGACTCCATAGTAACGACCAACCAATGCAGTGTAATAATTAACAAAGCTAGTCTAAGTTGAACCATAATCCTGAAAACAATATAAAAGTCTTAGGAAGTTCTGAACAAACTGTATATAATGCATTACTCAGAATGCATCTTGAATATTGTATCCATGCATAACCCAAGAGAACCGTGCAGCAGTCAAGTACACTGGGCAGTACAGAAGAGACTCCTTAGTGTTTGGATTACTACTGATTTAATAATGCCTGTTAATCTTGCAGTAATATGTAAGTAACTCAAATACTGTTCTTCACTGAACTAGTATATTGGAAACGACAATTAATTTTGTTTTTTTAACCAAGCAGAGGCTCCCAAGTTATGGTAAATGGAAAATTACAGACCACATTTTCCAGGATTTTGCCATTCGTCATAATCAAAGAAGTGTTGTGCTGTTGAAACTGGTTAGAAGAGAACCACGGTTTTCCAGGTGTTCAGTGAAAAGTTTATTTTCTCATATGCTTTGGAGAAGGGGTTGACAATGACTGGAGCCCACTTTCTGGGTGAACATACATGTAAATGTTATTTGCATGATGAAGCTCTGTGACAGATGTTAAAGAGTGTTTGGATTGAAGGCAGCATTATTTTCTCTGTTCTGTAGATTTTCTTGACATCTGTGAGTAGTTTGGAGGTGAATTACAATATTGCAGTGAGGAAAATGGAGAAAAGTGTTGCAGCAATGGTACAGCCTTGATGACCCAGTCTTCACTGAGAAAGTTTGTAGAGACTCCATTGGTGAGGATCACCATGTCATTGTGGAGCAGATTGAAAATGGTGCCAATTTTCTGCGGGCAGCCAAATTTGAATAGGGTACTCCATAGGACTTCACAGTTCAGAGAATCAAAGGCTTTCTTCAGATAAGAAAAAAACATGCAGTAGTTAGTGTTATTTCCCTGTATATTTCTTGAATTTGCTTTGCAGTGATGATTACTAAAAATCTGCTCTGCTGGATTAACATATAGCTTGTAGGTCTGACACCCGAATCAAGTTGTAACTCAGTTACAACAGGAGACTCCCAAGAACAATGGAATAACTTTGAGGACGTTCTCATCGTATCCCTGAAGAGCTCAACCATACTCAATTATTTGAAGGCGTCTCTGTGTGACAAAAATGGAGAAGTCTTATTCAGGAAGGCACTGAATGCATCAAGAGGCTTCGTTGGCAATGTGCAGAGTTGAGGCATTAAAGGGAATGCACAAACCTTGAAACAATGCATCTACTCAACCCTTTAGGCACCACCTGCCTCACATGTAGCAGCCCACAAATCTCACATTGGATTTAGTAGTAGTATCAGAATCCATCAAACTGGGGTGAGAGCAAGTCATCCTTCATTCTGAGGGATTGGCTTGGAAAAGGAGAGCTTAGCTACCACTTGTGGATACACAGTTAAATTTAATGAGTAATTTTAAAATGCCTATTTATATGTTGAATTAGAATGTAACATTATGATATAGCAATGACATTGCACCCGTAGGCTTTCAGAAAAGTTCAAAAATTCATTTGGGTGTATTTGTCTGCACTACGGCTAGTTCTGATATACATGATGGAGGTGCTTTGAATTTCATAAACCTTGTTTAAAATTACAATTTTTTAAAACTGCTTTGGGTGTATTCTAATTTTTTTTATGTTGATTGATGTGAATTTTTGAAGCTTTTGTAAAGACAGAAAATTGAAAACAATTGGTGCTCTTACAGGATTTGACAGAATAATGCATATAAAGCACTGATTGCCAACATTTATTTCTTACAGTATCCAAAAACAAATGGCAGACTGCCACAACTGAGGCTATGCAGATTGGGGATTATATCAGAGATAGTAGGAACTGCAGATGCTGGAGAATCTGAGATAACAAGGTGTAGAGCTGGATGAACACAGCAGGCCAAGCAGCATCACAGGAGCAGGAAGGCTGACATTTCGGGCCTAGACCCTTCATCAGAAAAAGACCCTTCTGATGAAGCGTCTAGGCCCGAAACATCAGCCTTCCTGCTCCTGTGATGCTGCTTGGCCTGCTGTGTTCATCCAGCTCTACACCTTGTTATCTCAGATTGGGGATTATGTTGTGTTAATCTATTAGAGGGTAATACCTTTACAGTTTGATTTGCACACTCGTTCTGAGCTTCAGTCTGAATCCTAAATCGTTGAACAACACCTACAATGAACACTAGTCTAATGAGAAAGGTATTTGACATCTTCTGGTCAGAAGCTGTTATCAAATTAGCAGATTGGTTCAGAATTTTAACACAGAAAGCTGAAAGCTAAATTGGTATGCTTCGTAGTAAACTTTTAAATCTGTAAGATTTTCTTTGACAAGAGATTTTGATTTTGAAGTCTTCAAGGACACATGATTCTGAACATTTTACAAAATGAACAGGCTTTCATTTATGGAAGTGAACACTTTGTGTTTTATCTGAAATTTTTGTACATTCTACATTCTTTACAGTTGTTCAGTTCTACACAGGTTTTACATTCAACAAATTAGTGGTAACGGACTCTTTACTCCTTAGACGGCATCCTACTTTAACAGGCTCGATGGATGATCTAGCTGAGAAAACAGTCTTCAGCTTGCATTCTCTGTTCACACAGGTCCTTAAGCCACTCGATGTAAAGACCAAGTTCTACAATGCTGAAGTAAGTATATGATTAAATTGCCACATTGTAGCAGAATTCCAAATTGAATTCAGTTCATTCCATTCCTTTGCTTTATTTTATAGATATATTGAGATCTGTTTATTATGCTGTTGCTGGTAACTTGCATAACCATACAAGATGCTTGTGTATTTTCTTCTGCAATGTGCTGCTTAGTTTAGACAATTTTTTTGCATTGTTTATGCGGTTTTTTTAAAAGGTCCTTTCTTTTGTAAATTTCTTTTTGAGGAGTTGGTTACGTAGGCTCTGAACCTTCTATAACTGGAAGAGCCGAGTTCACAGTACATTGAATAACCTAGCTATTTTTGGTTGCACAAAAATCTGCTCTTTCAATATTTGTTACTTGTTTCCTACAGTAAATTGGCATCCACTAATTAATTGCATTACATAGATTCAATGACTGGCACTTCGAGGACTCAAAGCAATGGCTATTGGTTTTGATGTAGAACACTGCACCTTTATTAATAAGTGCTACATGCTAATCTTTATAAGCCATCATTTAAAATTTGTGCAAACAATGAAGGAGAAAATTGGTTGTGCTTCTCTTTATAAGATCAAACTTAATTTTGAATTCATCTAATATAATTTGAGAAATAAATATTGTGCATCCTGCCAGAATAATTTTAACTCTTAATTTTTCTCATACTTCTTTGTTGACTGAAGCTAGCCTGTTTTTCTTCAGCTTCACAAATCTATTTGTAGCTGAAGTCCCTCATGCCTGGAACCATTCTTTTATACCTGCATTCATCTCCTCCCACATCTTAAAGACAGACAGTGCTATTTTTAACTGCCCAACTGACCCTTGTTTTATGCCTCTCACCCAACACTTCCTCCTACTGCTCACCCAGCATTTCTTCCTGCTGCATCTTTCATCTCACTCCTTTCATCACTCCCATTTCAACACTTTGAAATGTTTTAAGTGAGAGGGAAAAGATTTAAAAGGGACCTAAAGGGCAACTTTTTCCACACAGAGGTTGGTGCATATATGGAATGAGCTGCCAGAGGAAGTGGTGGAGAATGGTACAATTACAACATTTAAAAGGCATCTGGATGAGTTTATGAATAGGAAAGGTTGAGAGAGATATGGGCCAAATGCTGGCAAATGGGACTCCATTAATTTCGGATATCTGGTCGGCATGGATGAGTTAGACCGAAGGGTCTGTTTCCATGCTGTACAGTTCTGACTCTATGACCTATAGCTCCATCTTGCTACCTACTCTCATTTCTCTTTCTCCAGGTATGATGTGGAGGTGCCAGTGTTGGAGTGGGGTGATAAGGTCAGAAGTCACATGACACCAAATTATAGTCCAACAAGTTTATCTGAAAATCACAAGCCTTTGGAGCACTGCTCCTTCGTCAGGTGAAGTCACCTCATGATGGAGCAGTGTTCAGAAAGCTTGTGATTTCAAATAAATGTTTAGGACTATGGCCTGGTGTCTTGTGACTTCTGATTTTCTCCAGATAAAAGACCTACACTGTAATTTAGTAATCCCATTGTCAATAATATCTTCAAAAAAAAACTTCTCTGTAGTGTTCTTGATCATGACCTTGGAATTGCCTTTCAAGTCTTCAAAGCAGTTGCGTTTTCCAAATACTAACACCACTTCCCCCTTTTCCAACATCCAAGTTCCAGTGCTACAGCCACCCCAGGTCTTTCCAGGCCACAACATCCTTTCCAAATTTGAATAATTGTCTTTCTGTACCTTTAGTACATCTGCTAGTCTTTTGAATGTGATACACTTAGGTAAAGCAACCTGTAAATATGTAGTTTGTGAATTTGAAACTGGATGTTGAGTTCTTTTATTCTTTTAGAACTGCAACAGCCTTTGAGATCAGATTATTAGAAATTTGAAAACCAAAGTTATGATGTAGAAGGATGAAATAGTCATTGGGTTGTGGGATTACTTGCCAGGGCTTCACCTTTGCTATGTGGTGACTGTGAGTTATAATGAATTACAGGCTTATGGCAAGCAGCACAAACTAAGCTTTTAGAGTAGATTTGTAGCTCGGGTTGTGGTTGGTTGCCTCGCCGAGCTGGTACGTTGTTCTGCCGATGTTTCATTACCCTGCTGGCTAACATCATCAGGGCAGCCTCCGATGAAGCACCGTTGTGTTTTCCTGCCTGTTATTTAAACTCTGGTGTCTGTTGAGCTGGATTACCTCACTTCCAGTTTTCCTTTGCATTGGAGTGTATATGGGGTCTAGCTCTATGTGTTTATTGATGGCTTTCTTCGTGGAGAACAAGGCCTCTAGGAATTCCCATGCTTGTCTCTGCTTCGCCTGTCTCAGGATCTTGGTGTTGTCCCAATCAAATTGTTGGTTTTCCTTATCCATGTGGATGGAGATGAGTGAGTATTGGTCATGTCTTTTTGTTGCCAATTGATGCTCGTGTACCCTTGTGGTTAATTTCCTTCCTGTTTGTCCGATGTAGTGTTTGTCGCAGTCTTTGCAGGGAATCTTGTTTATGACATTGGTCCTGTCCATAGTTGGTAGTGGTTCTTTGGTCCGGGTGAGCAGTTGGCATAGGGTTGATGTGGGTTTGTGTGCTACTCTGATACCCAGTGGTCATAAGAGTCTTGTGGCCACCTCAAATGTATTCCTAATGTAAGGTGTCGGGGCATGTAGTATATTCCTGGTGTAGTTTGTGAAATAGGATACCTGAAAAACTGGGTCAGAAGATGCCTTACATCAAGAACACATCTGAACTGACCACAAGATTCCTATGACCACTGGCCATCAGAGTAGCACACAAATCCACGTAGAATATTTGAATAGTTATTGCAAAGAAGATGACTATTGAATCCACCCTGCCTCTCAGGTAGGGTAATTTAGTGAGTTCTGTCTGCCCGCCCTTTCCTTCAATTGAATCTCCTCCACTACTCCCTTCCAAATCTTAATTGGTCGTTATGTTTAAAAGAAAACTCATTGTTAATTTTTTGACTAATCGCCTTGAATTTGTGTTCTCTGACTCTTGAGCTCTCTACTAATGGGAACTGTTTCTCTTTATTTACCCTATTCAGACATCTAACAAACCGCCTCTCAAGTTTCCCTTCTCTAAAGAGAACAGCCCCAACTCCTCAAATCTGTACTCATAATTGAAGCCGCTCATCCCAGGAACTATTCTTGTATGATTATTATATGCATATTCTATTATATGTATTCTAAATCCTTCATGTCTTTCTTTATTGTGTGGTGCCTATGGTTAGCCGGGTTAAACTTGAAATACTGTTTTATTATTAACATTCTTGTACTTGTACACTGAGTCTAATTTTAAAACCCATAACACTGCAAACCTTTTATCTATATTGATAACAAATGTCAACTTTGAAGATGACATATCTTTGTGTTAAATTATGTCTGCCATCTGACTGCATGTCCCACCATCCTTTCTATGGCCTCTTGCAGTCTATCACTATCAGCTCATAATACTTTCAAAAGTTTGTCATCTGCAAATTGTTTTGTATAGCCAAGTCCAGGACATTAATATAAATGATTGGCAGAGGAATATACAGTTCGGCCCTTTCATTATACTTTTCTTGAAAACCACGAAGCACTGAGTAGACTTCATAATTTTTAAGCTCATGCCTGTTTAATATTCAAATAAAGCTTGGCAGTTAACTTTCAATTATCATTAACTAGTGCATTATTTATGGCAACATTTCTACCAATCAGAGTTCACTTGCCAACCAATCAGCACTGTCTCTCAAAATATGTGAATGTTGATTTCCCTTTACTTTTCTATTTCTTGTGAATTGTCCTGGTGACTATAATGTGAAATATTTCAACAAAGGTGTCCCTTTCCAGCAATACTCAAGTTCTATCTATACGACCAGACAACTGCTAGTAGTGAAAATGTTCATTCCCTTATAGTGCTCTGAATGCTGGGTAAGTTAGGAATATCCTATCAAGGGATGAGAGGCTGAATGGAATACTTACTGTATTCTTTTGTAACTCAGCAGTATTGAAGTCAAATCAGTGGTTCCTTACTCTAGATATTTTTGCACACAATATGTAATCAAGCAAAAGGTTTATGTGCAACCATTTTCAACATAAAGTTTTCCTTATTTTGACTAAGTCTTTGTGAGAAGCAGTAACACTTATTTGATAGCATATTTATGCAAATCTTCTTCCTTATACTTTCCAGGGGTAGAAATAATTCTGTACATACTCTCCTTCATGACATTTAATAGAACGTACTCACCCAAATTCTTTCTTTCTATTTCTAGACTTATTTAAACTGTATTGCACAAATTTTATAAATAATTTTGAAACTAGTTTTTAAAAATGTATTATAATTGGCTTCATGTCCCCTAGAATGGTTGGCCTTTGTTTGGACTATATTGAAAAGGCTAGCCTGACGAATGTACATTTATTTAGTTTATCTCACTCGTGGGTGATTGCTTTGACACTTTTTTTCCATACTGCTAGTATATTGGGAACATAATGAAGAAGATGATTAAGCTTTTCATGAAATATTTAGGTAAAGTGGATTATCTTTTCTTTAACATTTAACCCTTATTTCTCTAATAATGTTTGCTTTTTTTTAATTTTTTTCCCCTATTAGAGTGACCTCAGTTCTGTGGTAATTTTTTATTTATTGCTACTTTGTGTTTTGATTTAATTACAACATAATCATGATTGCTGTAATTAACACTGGCTAAATATGCAGAAAGATAATGGAGAAGCATTGGTCGAAATTGAAATTACTATGAAAGGGATTGTCTCTCAAATGATGACTTTGAAAATTTGACTGCAGATTATATTTTGTTCATTTAATGTCTATTTTACTGAATTGTCTTCAATTTAACTTCAGTAAACAACTATTTGAAATCCGAAAAGTTAATTTTTAAGAGGCTTGACTGTATTGTAACAAATTTATGCTTTTCCATTATGTCACTAATCCTATCATCCAAGCTTGCTTAAAAAGAACCTGCTGAGTAAAAAGGTAAACAACATAAAAGTAAAGAGTTTTGAGCAATGGATTTGTTGGAGAATGTTTTGTCGAAGTGACATTTTAAAAATCAGGTTTGGGAGATGAACATGTTAAAAAATTAGGTATAACCAATGTCAAAACATTCATGGTTTTGAATAGAAATCAAAAATGGAACACCGTAAGCTGTGAAATTTTGTCAGCAATACCATTGACATCTTGCATATGTTCTAGTATTTGAATAGAACCGACTAAAATCAACAAGAGTTCCCTTTTCCTTCCCCATAACAAATTATAGATGAATGTGCTGGAAACAGCAGATCAGGCAGCATATAGAGTCATAGAATCGTACAGCATTGAAACAGACCCTTTGGTCCAACCAGTCCATTGCTGACCATGATCCCAATCTAAACTAGTTTGCCCATATCCCTCCGATGTGCAGGGTGACTCATGGTTAGCATTTCAAGTGAATGACCTTTCATTAGAACCAGTCTCTGGATAGTATAATTTAGCAAATTGTTGCATCTGTGAAGTGATTGCGTTTGATATACAAATACATCTAGCCATTATTGGACACTAACGTGATTTAAATTGCAAAAGTAATGATTAAATTTGTTAGAATTATGGAAACTTAAAGTGTAAAAGAAGGCTAATATCTATGGTGACGCTGGAAGATGAAGTGAGCTTTGTCCCAAATCCCTTCTTTGTGTCCATAACCCATTAATAGGTTCCTCATCCTCCAATCTCTCTCCAACTCCTTTAAAGGTATTTATGGAATCAGCTTCCAGCATCTTTCACTACACCAACTTTCAATAGTGCAAATTTAACATATCTTCTCTATAAAATATTTTTTTTTCCATTTTCTCTGCTGCTACATAAAGATATTGCTTTGGGACCTTAACAGGCCCAATTTTTCTTCCTGAGATAACCTCTTGGATTTTTTATATATGTTGCGTGCTAATCTTTGCTTGTAGCATTTCGATCCCTTCCATATTAACTTTTTAATCCCCACTTGTACTTTCCATGCTCTTCCTGATTATTAATTGTATCTTCCTCCAGATAATTGTTGACACTTGGGAGGCTGTTTAGGCCATTTATGACTCTGCCCATTTTAAATATACTTTCCACCTAGATTCACTAAGTGCACAGTAAAGTTTGCATTTATTTTGCCTAACATCCAAAGTCCCAGTTACAGAATAGTGTCTCTCATGCCCATTTAATTAGTTTTTTACTTCACATATTCTTTTGCTTACATTGCCAACTTTATGCAAATCCCATCTAAGCTTTTACTTTCGAATTATAGATTTGCATGCAGCAAGAGGATAGGATGTCAACTAGAATGCTATCCAGTTCCGTAGATAAGAAATTTAATAATTTTTTGTTGCATAATGTGTGTGTTTTATAAACTCCTTTAAATAATCAATCCACATTATAGAACAGTGGAATGCAAAACCCTTTTATTTTGTTTTTAATTAATCAACATGTGTCATTTGTGTAAAGAACAAAGAATAAATCACTGAATAACTTTTACCCCTCCTTGCTCACTGTACCCCCTTCTGATGTCTGCAAAAAAGTAAACATTTGCTATATGCTAGTAACGTGAAGCAAATATTAAAAGGCTAATTTCATAATTTTCTTAAAGTCGTCCATTGTAATAAAAGAACTTTGCAAAATTTTGAGTCTTAGGTCTAGATTAAATAAAATGAGTTGTTTGTTCTGATTTAGCTAACCTGTGCCATAATCTAAACTAACAGATTCTAAATGTGAAGGAAATCAATGGTTAAGTTGTTAATAAAACAAAAAAAAATTCACAGCAACTTTATTTTTCTCCCTTTTCTCCCCAAATTAAGAAAGAAAACTTGGCTGGTTAATAAATCATTATACATTCAGAAGTGTATCTCAGTAAAAATACTGCCAGCTGCTATTGTCAAAGCAAATAGAATTAGACTGAAATGACCTTTGTTAGCATAAATGCCACCTCATATACTTCACCTATTGTTTCCTTGTTTACTGTAACTTAGTAACTCATTTCACACATTGAGTAGTTTGCATCCACCGTATTTTATCTAGTATTTTGATTTGTTTATGTTAAAAGGGGGAGAGTAAGTGATGTGCATTATTCAACCACTGAGAACCCTTTTTTTCAAAAAGGATTCTTCATGGTCAGTTCCAATTAATGTTTAATACCCTAATTATTCGTAATATATAAAAAAAAGTTTATCCCAAATCCATTGCAATAATTACATTAATAAACTAATATAGATATGAGTAAGATATTTCTTGGAATAATGCTTCTGCTTTCCTTTATTGATTACCTGCCCTATGATTCTGAGGCATGAACTACTTGTAATATTTGGGTTAAATCTTATGATCTGGTATGATTTTGTTTACAAGATATTTTTCTCCCCCTATTCAGACAGATGAAGTCTTTCTTGAAGCTCAGATACAGAATATCACAACTACACCAATGTACATGGAAAAGGTTTCTCTCGAGCCATCCATAATGTATAATGTAACCGAACTGAACACTGTCAATACAAGAGGGAGCAGGTAAGAATGAATTATTAAGTTTATAGTTATGATCCATCAGGTTCCTTTTTTATATTATCTTGCTATTTGTGTAACTTTTACTGTCTATGTTAAATGATGATTTAAAATTGTGTATTCAACTCCGCTTTTCTTTAATGTCTAATAAAAACACGGATGCTGTAATTCAGAAACAAAAATAGAAATTGCTGGAAAAGCTCTGCAGGTCTGGCAAAGTTCTGAGGAAGGGTCACTTCACCTGAAACATTAACTCTGATTTCTCTCCACAGATGCTGCCAGACCTGCTGAGCCTTTCCAGTAATTTCTGTTTTTGTTTTTTTAATGCCTGCCTGTATAATTTTTTGATAGCTGTTCCCTTTTTCTAAAAGCACTGTGGCGTTTACCAGTTTTTCTGTTCAGCTAATTAGAAGGCGATGTGCAGCAAATTTAAAAATTAGTGAAACATGATGTTTTAACTTGGAGTTGTGTAAGAATTCTTGACACAACTTAAAGTTCATGTTCCTCTTTTTGGAACTTGTAGCCGTAAGACTATGAAGTGAGTATCTTGATGTTACATGATTGAAGGTAATGTTTTAGTTCCAGCATTCTTAGTTCTTCTGAGTAGCAGTGATGGGAGGAAGGAATTTTCAGATACTTGTTATAACTCCTCAAAATATTTCAATAAAATTGACTCGATTTGATGATTCTCCGTTATGGTACTTGACACTTTTTAAAATCAGAGCTTTTTAAAATATTGAAAATCTGATTCAATTTTTAATTGAATATTCACTAAAACAGTTTTGATCTTAGCTGATATTCTCTCTTGATGGACTGTTCACTCTGGAGATTCGTGTTGTAGAGTTCCATTGCTGTGATACAGGTGGAAAAAATAGTACCTTTAAAGCCTAAGTGTAAGAACTTGCAAGTTATGTTTGAATGACTGATAAGGGTAAAAAAAAACCCTTGTCATCATGGTCCTGTGCATTTAATTATAAATTCACTTTCCTTGGCAACATGAGTTACTTTTGCTTTTGTATCACTATTCGCTACAAATCCTAATTCTGTGATGTCACTTTACACCAGAATATAGTAGAGTTTCTACTGCTACAATTGCTGCGATGTTGTGCCGAACATGATGTCAAATTAAACTAATCTCTTGTGCCTGCATTTGGTCCATATCCCTGCATTCCTTGCACATTCATGAGCTCATCTAAAAGTCCCTTAAACGCTCCTATTGTATCTGCCTCCACCACCACCCCTGCTAGTGCATTGCAGGCTCCTATCACACTCTGTAAAAAAAAAACTTGCCCCTCACATTTCTTTTGAACACCTCCCCACCACCTAAATGCATGTTTCCTAGCAGTAGACATTTCAACTCAGGGAAAAAGATTCTAAACGTAAACCCTATCTATGCATCTCATAATTTTATAGACTTGTATCAAATTTCCCCTCAGCCTCTGCCATTCCAGAGAACCTGAGTTCTTCCAGCCCCTCCTTATAGCTTGTACCCTCTAACAAGTCTCCACATCCTTCATGTAATGTGGCGACTAGAGTTGAGTAGCTTCAAGTCCTATGAAATTTGATGAGCAGCAGCACATATTCCTGTTTGTAATGGTTGGTTTCTGATGCTAAGACTTCCACTCACTTTTGCATATTGCAATGCATCTATCAATTTTGTACAGTTAGTAAATGCATTAAGTAATGGGCAATAAATGCTGGCCTAGCCAGTGATACCCAGATTTCAAAAATGAATAAAAAGTAACTATGAAGCATAACTTTCTCAAGACAGTTATGTCCAGACCGTTCTTTGAAACCATGGTTACATATTGTTATGGTGTATATTTATGTCTTATACAGAGGCACACTGTTCCTTATCATCACCACTAGATGTTTCAATTAATCACTATTCACAGCAATGACAGCTATTCTTGAGGTTCATCACCTAGTCATGACTGATTCAATATCAAATTATTGATCTCATAAATGATAGCATTTGTCAAACTGAAATGACGTTCAATAGAATGTTGACATGACTATGCTTTGTTTAAATCCTGAATTGGTTCAAAAAGTGTAGTCTCATTTTGGAACAAAACTATTAAATCTAACGTGCTTTCTGGTTGACACTTATTAGTTCACCACCACAGGGGTGGTGTTGGAGGCAGATACAATAAGAGCGTTTAAGGGACTTTTAGATGAGCTCATGAATGTGCAAGGAATGCAGGGATATGGACCAAATGCAGGCACAAGAGATTAGTTTAATTTGACATCATGTTCGGCACAACGTCGCAGCAATTGTAGCAGTAGAAACTCTACTATATTCTGGTGTAAAGTGACATCACAGAATTAGCTTTTAATTTCATACTGTTTTATGTAGTTATACCTTGTCATACATGTGGCTCAGTCCACATCCTGGTTTATCTAAGCATAACTCTGAAAGCGGAGACATTTCAAACAGGGATAAGTACCTGAAGTGCAGACTTCTCAGCATGCTCTATAGACAATTTTGACCTGAATCATTTTTCTTCATGTGAAGGGAGAAGGAAATAAACATGTATTGTGTTTAAAATAGCACGTACCATCCTATTTGGGCTTGCAGTTCTTAAATTTGAGCATATAATTTAAATTAATTTGTTTAGTTTTATATCCAGATCTTTAGGAGGTGGCAGGGCTTTAAACAATTATGTACAGAAATGAAATTAGCTTAAAGTAAAAGAAACATGAAAGGAGAACATTGGAAGCCAAACTTGATTGAGTACAAAGATGTTCAGGGGTTGAACATGTGTGTAAAGGATACTTTAATTAAAATGCTATAACTGCATTTCAAATAAAGAGGTTAAATGGTATATAAATTAATCAAATTTGAGGATAAAGCCCATTGTCCAGGTAATTTGCTTCTGTACAGGTTAAAAGAACTTGGGAAGAGATAGCATCAACAATGTAACGTATTTTTGAATTTGTTAGTATAAGGTATAGTGTCAAAGGACTAACAGATAGCTAACATTATACTGTTGTACCTATATTCAAGAGTGCAGATTGAACGTTTCCAGGGAATTCTCCATAAGACCATAAGAAGTAGGAGCAGAATTAGCCTATTTGGCCCATCAAGTCTGTTCTGCCGTTTGATGAAAGCTGATATATTTCTCAATTCTATTCCCCTGCCTTCTCCCTGTAACCCTTGACACTGTTAACAGTGTAGACTTTGGAATCAAAAATGCAACTTCAAAATTTTCAAATAACATGAGAGTGCTGGGTGGGAGCTAGTATTCCAAAAAGAAGCAGGCTGCAATACCTTGGAAGAAGGTATTAGCAAACTTGCAGAATGGGTGAATATTTCATAAAATAATTTCAACATAGACAGATACAAGGTCTTGTTCATTGGAAGAACTTTTAATGATTGCATTAAATATTTGTTTGTTCTGCATACATCGATAACTATCTACTTGGTGAGAAATAATACTCCAAATGGGATATACTACACCAATTCTTTAAATATTGTAAAATGTGACGTGCTATTGTCATATTGTAAATTCTGTTAAGACGTGGGCTAGGAATCATACAAGTACGTAAGGGAGAAAAGAAAAGGTGAACGTGGTCCTAGGATAGGATGAAATAAGATAGGAAGACACTTGTATGGAAAATAAACAATGGTATATGCCTCTTGCACTGAATAGACTGTTTTTCTGCTGTAAAATGACTTCAACTTCTTTATGAAGATAAATTACACCACATTTTGTCATTGACATGCTTCTGTTCTTTTCAGCTGCTCCACATTTGGGAAGATGACCTACTTGCAACCTATGGACACACGACAATATCTATACTGTCTCAAACCTAAGCCTGAATTTGCAGAGAAGGCTGGGGTCATCAAGGGCGTCACAGTAATTGGAAAATTGGACATAGTGTGGAAAACAAACTTGGGTGAAAGAGGACGGTTGCAAACAAGTCAGTTGCAACGAATGGTTCGTAAATGTGCACAATTTAGTTTTCTTCAGAATAATCCATTTAGTCAAAATTCTATTGTATGAAAGGCTGTGGTTATTAATTTCTATGAAGTTAGTGTTGGCTCAGGCTCTGTGTTCACTAAAGGAAAAAAATTTAACATCTAATCCATTGTAGTGAGTGTCGACTTTTAATAATAGGGTATTCATATTAAAAGTGTCATTTTCCTTCATTTATAATTCCCCTTTTAAGAAAATGGCTAGAACAGCTAGGAGTGTGGCAAGTTCTAGAGCGCAAGTCTTCAGAACTATCGCCAGAATATTGTCAGGGCCCCATAGCCTTTGCAGTATCCTGCCTTGAGTTTATTGACATCATGTGGAGTAAGGGGAGGCAATGGTCTTGTGGTATTATTGCTGGACTGTTAATCCAGAGACTCAGGTAATGTTCTGGAGACTTGTTTCGAACACTGCCGTGGCAGATAGTGGAATCTGAATTCAATAAATATCTGGAATCAAGAGTCCAATGATGACCACAAACCATTGTCTATTGTTGGAAAATCCCATCTGCTTCACTGATATCCTTTTAGGAAGGAAGCTGCCATCCTTACCTGGACTGGTCTACATGTGATACCAGACCCACAACAATGTGGTTGACTCAGCTGCCCTCTGGGCAATTAACAAATGCTACCCTAGCCAGCGGTGCCCTCATTCTATGTATGAATTTTTTAAAAAATTGACTTGGCTAAAAACTGGCATCCATGGCACCTCTGGACGAAGCCTTAATGGATCATCCATATAGCACCTCTGCTTTCAGGTGGATACCAATAGCTTAGCCTTGTCTTTTTCACTTATATACTGGGCCACCCATTGTTGAGGATAGTGAAATTTGTAGAGTCTCCACTTCCTTTGTGTTGATGTTTTATTGTGCACCAATATTCATGACCAGGAGTAGCATGACTGCAGAGCTTAGATCTGATTCATTGGGAGGGTGATTGCTTAGCCCTGTCCATCACTTGTTGCTTCAACTGTTTGGCATGCAAGTAGTCTTGTGTTATAGCTTCACGAGGTTGATACCTTTTTCTTTTCGGTAAGGCTGGTGCACCTCCTGGTTCAATGGTAATGGTAGAGTGGGGGATATGCTGGGCCATGAGATTGCGTAGTGTGGTTAAATATGACTCTGCTGCTGATGCCCCACCTCATGGATGCCAAGTTGTGAGTTTCTAGACCTGTTCAAAGTCTGACCTATTTGTCTCACAGTATCAAAGCAAAACAGTGGAGGGATTCCTCACTGTGCAGGCAGCATTTCGTCTCCACAAGGATTGTGGTAGTCAGGCTTACTGATACCTTCCTGTTCGGGCGCACCTGTGACAGATGGATTGGTGAGGACGAGATCAAGTGGATTTTTCCCTCTTGTCTCTCTCTTCCATCATCATTTCCTGCACACACAGTCTAACAGCTGTGTCCTTTAGGATTCAACCAGTTTTGGTCAGTAGTGGTGCAACTGAGCCATAATGTATCGTATTCAATATGGTCTGATTGTTCAGCCAAGGAAGTGGAGCAGGGGGGTGTTGTACATAGCACGTGGTACTCGGCAGGAGGTTTCCTTGCCTGTGTTTGCTCTGATATTATGAGATTCCATAGCTTTTTGGCGTCAATGTTGAGAACTTCCAGGCCAACTCCTTTCCAGCAGTATTTCATTGTGTCACCACGTCTGGTGGGCAGGTGGGACAAGGCATACCCAGATATGATGGTTGTGGTGTCTGTGGCATAGCCATAATCTTTCAAACAGACAATGTTGGACCATGTTTGATTGGACTGTGGGACAGTTCTCTCAATTTTGGTACAAGCCGTCAGATGTTGGTAAGGACGTCATTTCGTGGTCGGCAGGACTGTATTTGCCATTTTTGTTTCAGATGCCTGGTGGATGCCAGGTTGCCTCTCTAGTTACAATCCTTTGTTTAGAATTTGTAACAGTTTGGTACAACTGAATGGCTCTTATACCATCAGAAAACAGTTAATTAGCAACCACATCACAGTGGGTTTAGAGTAACATGCCAGGTAAGGATGGCAGATTATTTGACCTAAACTAGCACATGGGTTTCTTTTTCTGATTATTACCAACAATTACATGGTACCATTAGGTTAACTATTAACTCCAGATTTTATTGAATTCAAATTTCACTATCTGCCGTGGTGGGATTCTAACTCATGTCCTCAGAACATTAGTTCCTGCCATTCTTGTCCTCCCCAACAGTTCCGAAAAAGCATCATTGTATTCAGAATGTTAACCCTGCTTTCTCTTCACCAATGCTGGCAGATCTGCTGAGTTTCTCTAGCTCTTTCTGGTTTTATCCTAAAAATATTAGCCCGGGCTTCCACGTTACCAGTCCAGTGGTGTGACAACTACATTATGGCCTTCCTTGGTCTTGATTGTATTGGTGAAATACCTGCAATGTGTTGTTCTACGTTTATGTCTTCTTTTTGGTCTGCCTCTTGAAAATGGTGATTTGTGTTGAAAAACAATTCTGTGGCTGCAGACCAGCCTCTGGTATCTTAGCCGTGTTTTACATCTTACAGCAAGCAGCATGTTGGGTTTTTCAGATGCACCTGAACCAGCCACATTTGGTGACTTTCAGTCAGGTTAACTGGAGAACCATTCAAAGTTTCTCCTTCACCACATCTTGTCTATGTTTAGTTGACACCAATACTTCTACTTTATACTTCACCTGAGAATTCATTGGTCATGAACCTTCACAACTATGGGATGTTAAAGAATATGTATCTGAGGGATGTTCTGTTCTGAAGATTTGGAATTCTTGTTACAGATGCTGTGTGTTTAAGTTTTTTTTTCTGATCTTTTGTTCAGAAGGATAATGAAACAGATTTTAATTTTTCCTCTTCAAAGTCCCATGCTTCTCATGGTTTTATTTCAGGCCCCTGGATATGGTGATGTAAGACTTTCCTTGGAGATGATTCCAGATACTGTGAACCTTGAAGAACCTTTTGAAGTTACGTGTAAAATAACTAATTGCAGGTAATAGTAAGATGGCTAATGCATGTGGAATGTGACTTTGCATGGAATTTTGCTAATTAAAGGGAGAATATTTCCATTATGAAATGTTGAGGTTTGCTCCTCCACCGAAGTCTAAAGTTAAAGATGAAAATTCTTACAAGACTATGCTCGAACTTTTTTTTTCCTGTTCCTGCAGAGTTATCACCTATTTGCTATTTGCATCCTTCAGTAAGCATATCAGTAATAAATTAACGGGTTAAAAAGGACTAGTCTGATTAGAGACCAAAAAGGGGATTTACATGTGGAGCCAGGGGACATAGCAGACATCTTAAATGAACATATTAAATCTGTCTTTACAAAAGAGGAGGCATGGTGACAGAGGAGGAAATGCTATCACTAGAAGGGTTCAGAATTGTTCAGGAAGAAGTGTTGGATAAACTATTGGTACTTAGAGATAACAAGGGACTGGGGCCAGATGAGATGCATCCAAGGCTTTTGAAGGAAGTGAAGGTAGAAGTTGCAGGGACATGGCTATCATCTTTCAATCTTCCCTGGACTTTTGGGGGTGGGGGGTGCAGAAGACTGGAGAATTGTAAACATTGCGGCCTTCATTCAAGGAAGTTTGTAAAAATAATGCCAGCAATTATACACCGATCAGTTTAACTTCTGCGGTGTGGAAGCTTTAGAAACAATTATTCAGGATAGAATTAGTAGTCACATGAGAAAAGATGGATTGATTAGGAAGTGACAGCATGAATTTCTAAAGAGCAAGTTATGTTTAACTAACTTACTGAAGTTTTTTTGAAATGGTAACAGAAATTTTCAGATCCCCTCGTTGCCTTATTGGGAATGTAAATAGTACCTCTACATATTTAAAAAATGCAATTTTGTTGCAGCTGAGGAATGTCAAAATCCCACTCTATTTTCTGCAAAGTCTGGACTGAGCTTTTTTTTGCCATTTGTACATATCCACAGATAACTTATGAATTTATGATGAATAAAGTATACTTTTGCAAAAATAGACAACCTCAGTGAGGGTACCGGTGTTGGTGTTGTTTACATGGATTTCCAGAAGGTTTTTGATAGTGTCACACAACAGACTTGAGGAAAGTTATAGGTTATTGTATAAAAGGGACAGCAGCAATGTGGATACAAAATTGGCTAAGGGATAGGAAAGCGAGTAATGGTCAATGAATGTTTTTTGTACTGGAGGAAGATTTGTAATGGAAATACCCAGGGTTTGAGATTGGGGGTTTTGCTTTTCTGAACATATTCTGATGATTTATTTATTTGATTGATCTGCATTTTGGTGTGAAGGTAACTATTTCAAAGTTTGCAGTTGACGCACAAAAAAAGGAGAATTGTAAACTGTGAGGATGACAGTGTGTAATCTCAAAAGAACATTCACAAGTTTGTGGAATGAGCAGATAGGTATCAGATGAAGTTTTATGTAGAAAAGTGTGAAGTAATGCATGTTGGTAGGAAGAAGGTTGAAATACAGTTTAAAATAAGGGATACATTTCTACAGGTGGTGCAGGAGCTGAGGTACTTGTGTGCATAGCTAAACAGATCATTGAAGGTGGCGGGAGAAATGGAGAGCGCAGTTTATAAAGCATGCAGTGTCCTGAGCTTTTTTTGATGGGGACACAGTACAAGAGCAAGGAGGTGACGTTGAACTTGTAGATAAGACATTTGTTTGACCTCAGTTGAAGTACTGTGTGCAGTTGTGGGTGCCATGTTATAGAAAAGAGATGAATGCATTTGAGAGAGTGACAAAGAAAATAAAAGAATTGGTGCTGAAATGGAAGTAGGTATAGATTGAAGTTGGGAATGTTCTGCTTAGAGAGAAGAAAGCTGAGGCGAAATTTGATAGAAGTTTGCAAAATCATTCGCAACAGGACAAAGTAGATAGGCAGATACTGTTCTGCTCATAAAAGGAACAAGAAGAAGAGGGGGCAGATTTATAACTATGTGCAAAAGAAGTATGGGTGATGTGAGAAAAAACATTTTCATTCAGAGAGTAGTTATGGCATGGAATGCACTGCCTGGAAATGTGGTGGAGGAAGTTCAGTTGAGGCATTCAAGAGGGTAGTGGAGGATTGTTTGAATGGAAAACAATATACAAGGTTAGGAGAGAAAGCAGACAATTGGCATTGTAGTGATACTCGTTTGAGAGCTGGGGCGAGCGTGATGGGCCAAATGGCCACCACCTGCACCATAATAATTCTGTGATTCTGAGCCATCCACACTCAATGAAAAGTGATTTCCTATGGAGCCTCTGTAGCTGACATCAGCCAAGTGACCTTTCACGGAGTGTGGAGACCTTGAATAATGTGCTCTCTGCAAGAAAGTGAAATTTTACAATATCCTAAATACAGGGTTATCCTTAATTTTACCTCATTTCCAAAATACTAAATGGAGAGTCCAGAGCCAAGTAAATAGTCACCCACATAATTTAAAAATAGTTATCTTCCGGTAAATAAAATTACTTTCATCATTAGTTATAATTCCTGTGGATATCTATCATCTGAGTCTCATGTTATTAATTTTCCTATTGAGGTGTTCTTGTTGCATATCATGGGTGCAGTTTTGTAAACTAATAAAGGCATTGGCATCCTGGATCAGTCTGGATGCTGATCTGAAGATATCAAGGTATGTGTGCTCATTCAATAAGTGGGCACACTGGTTCCTGTTCCTTTAGATAGGTATTCGGGCTAATTCAGACAGATGTTCAAGGAGATCTGTAGATTTCCTCCCAATGTGTTAGCATTTCTAATGTCGCATGAATGTGTCTGGAAGGAAGAAATCTGAAATGATTGGCCTCAGTAAGATGCATATTAATGACTTAAAAACAATGTCTCCTGAAAGATAGGATAAATATTTTTCAACTTTTGATGTTGCATAGGTTCAGCCCATCGTGTCCATGCCGATGAGCAACCGGCAACTGACACAAATCCCATTTATTGGTCAATAGCCTACTATGCCTTGGCATTTTAAGTATTTGTTCAGATGCCTGTTAAATATTTCAAAAGTACCTGCCTCTACCACCCTCTCAAGCAGTGTGTTCCATATTTGTAAATAAAAACCGAAAGAACTGTGGATGCTGTAAATCAGGAACAAAAACAGAAGTTGCTGGAAAAGCTCAGCAGGTCTGGCAGCATCTGAGGAAGGGTCACGAGACCCGAAAGGTTAACTCTGATTTTTCTTCACAGATGCTGCTGTTCCATATTTCTACCATTTTCTGGGGATGTGTAATGACAGAGACTTGATTAGGGTTCTGAAGGTGAAGGAATCCCTTTCAGGAATTGCTGGAGTCAGGGAGGATCTCAGAGGACTGGAAAATGGTTAATGTAACACCCTTGATTTGAGAAGGGAAGGAGACAGAAGATAAGAAACTATAGGCCTGTTAGCCATAACCTTGGTCATTTGTAAGATTTTCGGGTCCTTTATTAAGGATGAGGTTGCAGAGTGCATGGAAGTGCATGGGAAAATAGGATAGCTTCGTGAAGGGGAGGTCATGCCTGACAAATCGTTAGAATTCTTTGAGGAGGTAATGAGCAAGCTAGACAAAGGAAAGCCAGTGGATGTAATCTATTTTGATTTCCAGAAGGCTGCTAAATAAGATAGGAGTCCATGATGTTAGGGGCAAGGTACTAGCATGGATAAAGGATTGGCTGACTGGCAGAAGGCAGAGAGTAGGGATAAAGAGGTCTTTTTCAGGATGGCAGCTGGCGACTAGTGGAGTTTCATAGGGGTCAGTGTTAGGACCAAAAATAATCGTTTTAATGATCTGGACTAAGGAACTGAGAGCATTGTTGCTAAGTTTGCAGATGACGCAAGGATTTGTGGAGGACAGGTAGTGTTGAGGAAGCAGGGAAACTACAGAAAGAAAAACCAAAAGAACTGCAGATGCTATAAATCAGGAACAAAAACAAAGTTGCTGGAAAAGCCCAGCAGGTCTGGCTGCATCTGTGAAGGACAAAACAGAGTTAATGTTTCGGGTCTGGGGACTCTTCCATATGTTCTGAGGAAGGGTCACTGGAGCCGAAATGTTAACTCTGTTTTTATCCTTCACAGATGCTGCCAGACCTGCTGGGCTTTTCCAGCAACTTTGTGTGTTGAAACTACAGAAAGACTTGGGCATGATAGATGAGTGAGCAAAGAAGTGGTAGATGGAATACAATGTGAGAAAGTGTAAGATTCTTCATTTTGATAGGAAGTATAGAGGCGTAAACTATTTTCTAAATGGGGAAAGGCTTCAGAAGAGTCCTAGTTTCTCTTAACATTAACATGCTGGTTCAATTGGTGGTTAGGAAGGCAAATGCAATGTTAGCATTCATTTCAAGAGGGCTAGAATACAACAGCAGAAATGTACTGCTGAGGCTGTATAAGGCTCTGGCCAGACCACATTTGGAATATTATGAGCCATTTTGGGCCCAGTATCTAAGGAAAGATGAGATGGTGTTGGAGGGAGTCCAGAGGAATGGTCTCAGATATGAAGGGCTTGTCAAATGAGGAGTGGTTAAGGACTCTGGATCTGTACTTGGAGTTTAGAAGGATGATGGGAGATCTGATTGAAACGTACAGGATACTGAGAAGTCTGGATGTAGTGGATATGGAGAAGATGTTTCCATGAGTAGGAGAGACTAGGACTTGAGGGTACAGCCTCAGGTTGAAGGGAAAACTCTTTAAAACTGAGATGAGGAATTCCTTCAGCCACAGGGTGGTGACTCTGTGAAGGCTTTGAAGGACAAATCATTAAGTGTATTTAAGACAGACGGATAGATTCTTGGTTGGTAAGGAGATCAAGGGTTAAATGGAGAAGTGGCAGATGGAATACAATGGGGGAAAGTGTGAGATTATGCACTTTGGTCGGAAGAATAGAGGCGTAGACTATTTTATCAGTGGGGAAAAGCTTCGGAAATCTGAAGCACATAGGGATGTAGGACCCCCAGTTCAGGATTCTCCTCTGGTTAACATGCGAGTTCACTTGACAGTTAGGAAGGCAAATGCAATGTTAGCATTAATTTCAAGAGGGTTAGAATAGAAGAGCAGAGATGTAGTGCTGAGGCTGTATAAGGTTCTGGTCAGACAGCATTTGGAATACTGTGAGCAGTCTTGGATCCTGTATCTAAAGAAGCATGTGATGTGATTGAAACCTTTGTTTTTATGTAGTCAAATACGTGCAATATTGTACTGAGCTATCTCAATCAGTTTTCATTTTACTAGTAGCGAGAGGACAATGGATCTGGTGCTTGAAATGTGCAATACAAATGCAATCCACTGGTGTGGCATTTCAGGAAGACAGCTAGGAAAGTTGAGTCCAAATTCTTCTCTTCATCTTGCACTCAAACTATTGGCCTCCATGCAAGGTTTACAGGTAAGACTTAAAAAGGACTGTCAGAGAAAGGAAATTTAGTAAGTGAAATCACCTTGACAAATTTGCTTTCTATTTTGCTCCAAACCTAGATACCAACTTTACCCAGCAACCCAGCAACAGTCTGAGAATAAACCAGTCTGTTTGCAGCCTTTTGACCTTCTGACTTGCTATTTGTGCTATCATAAAGACTACATGGATCAACTTTTGTAAATTGGCCAACTTTGCCTGCCTCAGTATATCTGCTGATGAAACTCTCTGTCATGCCTTTATTACCAGTAGACTGCATATTCATGGCTACAGTGGCTATTTTACCGTCCCTAAATTTGAGCTCATCCACAATTCTGCCTGTCTCTTAAAATACCAGTCATTCTTTGGGTCACTGACCTTCTTTACTTCCCGGTCAAACAAGGTCCTTAAAATTCCTCATCCTTGTTTTAAAATCCCCTTGTGCCCTCCCTATATCTGTAATCTCGTCCAGCCCCCCAACTCTACAAAATACCTACCCTGTAATCGTAGACTCTATACATTGCAAATTGCTCCACCATTGATGACAGTGTTTCCAGTTGCCTCAATCTGCCTTCTGGAATATTTTCCCTACACACCTCTGCTTTACTGTCCCTCATTAAAACTCCCATTAAAACAACCTCTGTAACCAAGCTTTTGACCATCTGACCAAATATCTCCTTATGTAACTTAAAATCACACTTTATTTTATAATGCTTTTGTATAGTGCCTTGGGATATTTCATTATGTTAAAGATATATATTAGTTGCATTTTGGTTGTTAAAACAAGAGTTTGCTCAAAAATTGCCAACTGTCATGAAAATTTATACCTGTGGTCTGCTCAACAGGCCACAATTTCACTCTTTTGATTTTATTGGAAATGGTGGGCTAGTGAATACATCTGTGATAGCCACAGTGTTTAAGAGCTGAGGATTATTTGGTTTTCACAAACCGCTTGATTCTTCAGTAACAACTTTTTATTCATGTATTCATGGCTTCTTGGATCCATTTCACTATTCGATGTCAACAGTGCAATTACTGAATCAAAATCATTAGCCTATTTTAAATGAAGACTTTTTTTAAGGTTGATCGTTATTCACAATCTACAAAACTGTTTGCAAGATTTATTGTTATTGCCATTTTATACAGAATGTTATTTTCAGCACAGAATACGCATATAACATTGTAATATTCTTTTAATTTTGAAATTATTTCTTTTACTGATATTGATGAATGTTAGCTTAAGTTAGGAAAGCAGTGTTCTCATGGTAAGGAACACTTGTAATTATATAGCATCTTTTACAATGTCAGGACATTCCAGAGTGCTTCCTGGAAATAAAGTACCTTAGAAAACGTAGTTAGTGCTGTAATATTAAAATGGTTTGCACAAAAAAAAACTCCTGCAAACAGCAATTTGAAAATACTGGATAACCTGTTTTAGCAATTGTTGAGGGATAAATTTTAGACAAGACACCAGAGATAACTACCTCAGAGATACAAAGAACTGCCGATGCTGGAGTCAGAGATAACACAGTGTGGAGCTGGAGGAACACAGCAGACCAGGCCGCATCAGAGGAGCAGGAAAGCTGACATTTCAGGTCAGGACCCTTCTTCAGAAAATCCTGAATCCAGAAAATCAGAAATTTCTGAAGAAGGGTCCCAACCCGAAACGTCAGCTTTCCTGTTCCTCTGATGCTGCCTGGCCTGCTGTGTTCCTCCAGCTCCACACTGCATTATAGGGATAACTACCTTGTTCTTTGAAATAGTTCCATGGTATCTTTCATGTCACCTGAGTGCAAACAGAGGCTTGTTTAAATGATGAGTGGCATCTCAAACAGGGCTGTGTGTTCAACTCTGGAATGTTTGCCTATTTTTGTGCTCAAGTCTGTGGTATGGACTTGAACTGATTTATGTCCTCTGTGAGCCTTGGCTGAGAGCAGAAACAAGTACTTTTTGTATTCATAAAACTGTGAGATTCTGCTTTGCAGCTGGTCCAAATGTGATAACTGTGAATAAATTACCTCTGCCCCTCAGTTTGACTTTTGCATCCTGTTTAATTGCACATGAGCATCATCGTTAAAGAAAAGTTGTTCTTTTTCAATGAAAAATACACATTTTGTTTGAGGAGCCAGGATAGCTATGTATTACTTTTATCTGCCACATGCAACCAATGCTGGCCATTTCAAAACAATTTCTGTTATGTTTGCAACCAAATAAAAACACTGCCTCTAAATTTTGCAGTAACTTTATAATTACCATTTGAGATGTTCTGTTTACTTTAAACTTCCTGCAATGTATAATTTTGTTCAATTCTCTTTTCAGAGTATTTCAGGATTGCGATTGATGGACACATTTTTAAAAAGAACTTATGAGTATGATGACATTGCACAAGTATGTGTGGTCTTTTCACACCTGAAACCAGAAAGCTAGAAGTACCTTCTCATAGTGGTGTTCCCTTCCTGTGGACCAATGGTTTTGTTTTAACGATGTGACCTGCTTTTTCATTCATGAAAGACTACCACCATACTAATATGAACCAAAATGTATGAAGATTTTATAATTTTAAGAAGTCTGCTGATACTACCGTGGAAAATGTGAACGCTGGAGATTGAGTGGATTGATGCACTGCCCTTTGCACCTCTGGAACATGCCTTGTAATCCAATATATTGATGAGATGGTGGTTTTCTCTGTTTACTGGCTGTAGAGTTCTTGCATGAATTAAATTTGCGTGGGCAGTCTCAATTTACTTTGTATTGGGTGTGAATCCATCATACATTGCACAACATTGTGGTGATCTTATTGAACAAGACCAAGTGTGTGGGAAATGGAAAACTCACACACAAGTGCAGAAATTGTGCATTCATGAAGTATATTGTGGAGGTATAGTACAGGGAGCTTTACTTTGCATCTTATCATGCAAAACCTGGCAGTGCTTCATGTTGCCTGAGATGGGAAACAGTCCATTCCCTTGCACCTAGTGAGCTTCACACCAATGAATGTAAAATCAACAAGGCAGTTTTTAAAAAATAAATCAGTTCAAAGTTGCTTTCAATTTCATGTGCATGTAATAAAGCTTTAAATGTATTTACAAAAATAGTCTCCAATGTACATAGCTTAATGGAGAAATTGTGTTTCTCAGTTAAAATAGTGACACCGCTTTTATGTTGGTAGCTTGGGGACATTGTGTAGCTGGAAACAAAATATGAAATGTTCATTGGAGGGGGGATTAAAACTTTTGAAAAGCTGTGCAATTGTTCACAAAGTTCCAGAATTGTTACAGTGTTGTACTGGCTGTCTGAGCATTTTAACCTGGTGCAAATCCTCCTGTCTTTTCTCTGTAGCCCTGCCCATTTTCTTTTTCCTGCTGGGTTCTTTTTTCATCACAAGTATCCCTCACCAGAAAGTAGTGACAGAAGTGTTCTGGGGAATGTTTTAACTTCACTTCTAGTTTTAAGAACCATAGTTATTGAAATCTGTAATTAAGGATAGAGGGACTCAACATTGAACTGACTGGAGAGAAGCAATATTGGATTTGTAAAGGATTGTGTATATGTAAATATGGTAGACTTTCACTTTAATTAAGAGTCCAATCACTTGAAAATGATATCATTGGCCATTTTGTGGAGAAACAGCTTAGTTCTAACCTTGCTGCCTACAGCATGAACATCTGTTTAATGAAGTTCCTGCTGTTAACACATCAATCTCTTGATCCTTGGAAAAGTTAGCAGATTTTTGCAAATTTGGAGACTACTTAAATGATGCTATCAGAAACAAATTGGTTTATAAATTATGTATGTAGATGGATTCCCTGCTCTTTTCCCTTTAATCATAATATTTCATTTTTTTAAAATCACCAATATCAAGGTTAAATTTAACCAACTTTTTTTAAAAAGAAAAATAATGGTGATCTAAACGTATAAATGAGTACCTTACTTTTACTCTAGAAACTACAAATAGTCACCTATCCTACTCATCAATCAACTGCTTTCCCTGCTGTAATTTGTAATGCCACCCTGCTCGTACTCTTGATCTATATCCTTACTTCTCTGAAGCTTACTTCTTGCAGTAAACCTTAGTTAAAACACAGTATTCTCATTCGGCCTTCACATCACTCCCTGAAGTCTCCTCCACACTGACCGTCTTCCTTACTGACTATTCCCACAATCCAGCAAATCTCAAGTCTTTCAAACAATATTAATTATGAGCATCTTCATAACAATAAAAATTGTAAATGTCTTGTAGAAAGTGACTGACACGTGAGATCTGATGCCTTAGATGGGAACACTTTGTATGACTGGCAGCATTTTATGGCTATTCTTCGGCTACTTTTCCCAATCAGAGCTGAGGCCTATATAAGCAGCTCTGTTTTGATTCCTTCTGTTGTTACCAAGTATTAACAAGGCACTTAACTGGTCAGGAATTAGCCAACAATACTTCACCACATACATCTTGTTGACAAAAAATGTTAAAACATTATTTCAGATGCCAGTGCAAGCAACCCACATATTGGCTGTACTAACCCAAGTATTTGCATTTGTACCAGGGGTTTGTTAATTATGTAAATACTATTGGTCAACATAGCAGACCTATGCAATCTCAACTGAAAAGATTTCTCTCAGCAGGTTCCTGAGGAACAGAGCAATATTTCCTTGCATCAGAAGCAATAAATGGATTACAGAATGACATGCTTTAATATAGATGATGGTAAGAATATTGGTTAAATATTGAACCTTTTACAAAACTACATCAGCAAAAAGAAAGTAATGAATTGGACATGTAATTACTGATGACTACATTAAACACTTTCAATTTATCTCAAGGGTATTGAATTAAAAGTAATTGATTACACTATGACAGAAGCAGAGCCAAAATAGCGGAAATAATTAACATGCTAATCAACTAACAATTGATTCAGATTTTTCTTCCCAGTTTCTAGGGTGTGGGGGTAGGGGCAAACAGCAGCAACTCTTGCAACAGTCCTGGGATATTGTATGTTTTCCTTGACTAATTAGGGAGACGTTCTACAATTGCCAATTTCTACATACATTCATAGACATTGTTAAATTACATAAAATACAGATTTTGGACTAATTTATTTATTTAGCTTTTGTTCAGTATACTACTGCTGGTTAGTTGTATTGTTGCCATATAAAATTTCTCATGAGAAACTTAACTCTATTTTAGTCTAAACACACTCAGAGTAAGTCATAGAGCAATTCAGCAGGGAAACAGCCCTTCAGCTGACCCTGGTGCCCACTCAGCTAGTTCCAATTGCCCACATTTGGTCCATATCCCTCTAAACCCTTCTCATCCATGTATCTACCCAAATGTTGCTACTGTACCTGCCTCAACCACTTTCCCTGTCAGCCCATTCCATATACGCACCGCTCTCTGCATGAAGTGGTTGCCCCTCAGGTCCTTCTTAAATCTATCCCTTTTCACCTTAAACCTATGCACTCTAGTTTTCAATTCCCCATCCCTGGGAAAAAGACTACATGCATTCATCCTATCTATGCCCCTTGTGATTTTATACACCTCAATAAAGTCACCCCTCATTCTCCTACCTTCCAAGGAATAAAGTCCTACCCTGGCCAACCGCTCCCTATAACTTAGGCCTACTAGTCTTGGCAACATCCTTGTAAATCATCTTTGCAAATTTTCCAGTTAAACTATGTCTTTAACAGGGTGACAAAAACTGAACACAATACTCCAACTGCTGCCTCACCAATGACTTATATAGTTGTAGCACAACATCCCAACTCCTATGCTAAATGCCTTCTTCACCACCCCATCCATCTGTGACACCATTTTCAAAGAACTATGTAATTGTACTCCTAGGTCCCTCTGTTCCACAACATTCCTCAGGACCTTAGCATTTACTGTACAAGTCCTACCTTTGCTTGACTTTCCAAAATGCAACACCTCACATTTATCTGTATTGAATTGCATCTGCCAATCCTCAGTCCACTACCTCGTCTGATCAAGATCCCTCTGTAATTCTTGATAACCTTCTTTGCTATGAACGATACCTCCTAATTTTCTATCATTCACAAACTTACAAATCACACCTTGTACATTCACATCCAGAACATTTATGTAAATAACAAAAAGGTCTCAGAACCAACCCCTGTGGCACACCACTAGTCTCAGGGCTCCAGTCCAAGAAACAACCTTCAACCATCACCCTCTACTTCCTACCAATGAGCCAATTTTGAATCTAATTAGCTAGCTCTCCCTGGATCCCATACCACCTAACCTTCATGACTGTCCTGCCATGCAGGACCTTATCAAAGGCCTTACTAAAGTCCATATAGACAACATCCACTGCCCTACCCTCATCCATCCTCTTGGTTACCTCTTTGAAAATCTCAAAGATTTATCAGACATGACTCATTATAGTGTTTCCTGCTTAACAGTATACAGGAGCATATGATGGATATGTTCGATAGATTTTTGCTTCTTAGTGCTGTATTGTGATAAAATACTAATTGTTAGACTTGTGCTATGCTCATCTACTCTCTCATTATAAGATTGTGAATTTCAGATCACAGATGTGGGTCTGCTAATATCAATTGCCTTTGATCAGCAAAGCCAAAATCCAAGTTGTAAGAATAGTTTTGCAAGGATCTTTAGAAGGCCAGTTTTAAAAACCTATTTACTTTTTCTATGTTCTTTCATGGAATGTGGGTATCACTGTGAAGGCCAGCAACTGGTATCCATCCCTGATTGGTCCTTGGTCTGAACACTTGCTCAGCCAACCATGTTGTTTTGTGGTTCTGGAGTCACATGTAGGCCAGACCAGTTAAGGACGTTAGTGAAACTGATTGTTGTAAAAATCAATCAATCTATTATGGTTTTACAGTCACCAGTACTGAGACTAGGAAACTACAGACCAGTTAATATTTTTCATCTCAGGAAAATGCTAAGATCTATTAGTAAGGAGGTTATAGCATGGCACTAGGAAAATATCAATGTAATCAGGCAGAGTCAACATAGTTTTGCAAAAGGGTTATCATACTTGACCAATTAATTAAAGTTCATTTGAGGAAGTAAGCAATATGGATAAAGGAGAACCTGTAGATTTGGTGCATTTGGATCTTCAGGCATTGAGCAAGTTACCACAACAAAAGATATTGCACACGGTTAGCTTACTAACCCTCTCTCTTTGCTAACAGGAGGCAGTAAGCAAGCATAAATGGGTTGTTTGAGTTAGCAACATGTGAATTGGTGTGGGACTGGTGGGAAAGAGTGGTTATTTGGGCCTGTATCTGTTAGAGTTTAGAAGAATAAGACCTGATCTATTGAAACACAGGATCCTGAGCGCACTGACAGGGTGGAGACTGAGAGGATGTTTTCCATTACAGCAAAGACAAGAGCTAGGTGTCACAGTTTAGAAACGAGGTTGTCCTTTTAAGACAGAGAAGGAGAAAGTTTTTCTCAAAGAGGCACGAGTCTGTGGAATTGTTTTGTATTGACAGCTGTGGAGGCAGGGATAGATAGATTCTTAACAGGATATCAGAGACACACAAGAATGTGGAGTTGAGGCTACCTTCAGATCAGTCATGGTCTTATTGAATAAAGGATAAGCACAAGGAGTGGAATAACGTACTCCTGATAATTTATAAAACAGTACAACCTTATACACCTTATCTTCAAAAGTACATCAGCATGGGGCATTTCTCATTGATGAATGATTGCAGAATGTACTAAATTATTAAGACAGATTTGCAGGTAAGAACTGTCTTTTTTTCTGGAAAAAAAAGACAAGTGGAACAATGATCCAATTCTTTAATCTGTGAAAAGGAATAAAGCTATTTTACTTGATATTAGGAATCCCAGTTCCCACATATAATCGGGCAGTACTGCAAGAATCCTTTTAGTAAGGCACCACAAAAAAAATCTTAGTTTGCTTGGATCTCACCTAAAATTATTAATACAAACTAAGGATTTATTTTGAACAATTATTTAATGATGACTATGGTGCCCACTGATTATAGGACACTTTGTGTGCACTAGTTGTCACCATATGTTCTAATATAGATGAGAGCAGGTTACTAAACTTTTAATTAACACAAATGAAGGATTCTCTCTCCTTTTCCTCCACTGTAGATTGATTCTAATTGCATTGCTCAATATACAACAGTTCTGGGGAAAACAAACCTAGGTCAACCAACAGAAGTACCATTGACAACAAGGTGCAGGGCTGGATGAACACAGCAAGCCAAGCAGCATCATAGGAGCAGAGAGGCTGACGTTTCGGGCCTAGACCCTTCATCAGAAAAGAGGGAGGGGAAGGGGGTTCTGAAATAAATAGGGAGAGAGTGAGAGGCGGATAGAAGATGGATAGAGGAGAGGATAGGTGGAGAGGAAACAAACAGGTCGAAGAGGCGGGGATGGGGCCAGTAAAGGTGAGTGTAGGTGGGGAGTTAGGGAGGGGATTGGTCAGTCCAGGAAGGACGGACAGGTCAAGGGGGTGGGATGAGGTTAGTCGGTAGGAGATGGAGGTGCGGCTTGAGGTGGGAGGAGGGGATAGGTGGGAGGAAGAACAGGTTAGGGAGGCAGGGACGAGCTGGACTGGTTTTGGGATGCGGTAGGGGGAGGGGAGATTTTGAAACTTGTGAAATCCACATTGATAACCATTGGGCTGCAGGGTTCCCAAGCAGAATATGAGTTGCTGTTCCTGCAACCTTCGGGTGGCATCGTTGTGGCACTGCAGGAGGCCCAGGATGGACATGTCGTCTGAGGAATGGGAGGGGGAGTTGAAATGGTTCGCGACTGGGAGGTGCAGTTGTTTGTTGCGAACCGAGCGTAGGTGTTCTGCAAAGCGGTCCCCGAGTCTCCGCTTGGTTTCCCCGATGTAGAGGAAGCCACACCGGGTACAGCGGATGCAGTATACCACATTGGCAGATGTGCAGGTGAACATCTGCTTGATGTGGAAAGTCTTCTTGGGGCCTGGGATGGGGGTGAGGGAGGAGGTATGGGGGCAGGTGTAGCACTTGTAGCTCCAGGCCAGAACTACATATATGCCAGACTATGAACAATGTTCTACAAGATTACTTGTGAGAAGTTTCCTAATGTAAAATGTGTACACTTGTTCAGTTGAAGATTACAAACATTAACAATAAATGCAAGTGCTTACAATGGAAGACCTGTTCTAGTGAAGTTACTTAAGAAATATCTCAATCACTTACAGCAAAGTAAAAGGAGAATGCATGCATTTCCCTTACCTGTTGTGCTGGAGCATGTTACCACTTTGTACAGTAATTAATTAATGTGCATGAGGTACAATTGGCTCATTTAAAATGTTAGTGGCACAATGCATACTTCAATTAATTACTGTATCACCTAGGAACTTCGAGTATTCAAACAATGGAAGTTGGGATGTGCAGGTAAAAGGATTTGTGGTTGTAATGAAAAATAATCTAAAATCTGTTGCAACACAAGACATTTATAGTGTTTGTCCCATGCACAGTTCACATTAAATATATTGCACCACAGACTTCATATCCAATTGTAAATTTGGTAAACTTTAAAAATTTTGTATTGCTGCATTATTCTTAGTCAATTAAATACTAGACATGAAACAGCAGAGACATGTCTAATCTAAACTCCAATTATGACTGTTACTAGAGCTACAGGCAATGTTCAAACAGATGCCAAGGTTTCCTGTTAAATTTCAGTTCCTGAAGTTCTGCAGAATTTTAAGTTTATAAGTAATCACCAATTCTTACATTTCATATGTTTAGAGTTTTGAGTTTACGTTACAAGATAAAATGTTATTGATTATTGTTATAAAACAATGGAACAGCATTATTCCATAAATATTGCAACTGTAAAGACAAAAACAATAAATGATTGGACTAACAACTAACTTGTTACACATTGATCATGTTAAATAAAAGATGGGGAGACAATTAATCAATTTTTATTAGCAAATATTTACACCATGAAGACAGATGTGCATTACACATATACTTTAAAAATTTGTGCAAATCTCATTCTAAGTTCATAGCCTTTTGAAAGGACATTAAGTAAGTGCTTGAAAAGAAAGAGTATCATTAAAACATAGACAGTTAACAGGAAAGTGGAATCAGACCATGTGGCACCAGTAAAATCTTAATGAAACAGATTATATTTCTGATTTACAGCATTGTATAATTCTAAATTTTTTTTTCACTTTATTAGAAACAATTAAAATCCCAAATTAGACAGTTAGTAAAATAAAAGTAGAGTACAGCCGATTAGGGACCAAAATGGGAACTTGCACATTAAAGTTAAGGGTATAGCTAAGGTACTAAATAAATACTTTGCATCTGTCTTTACTGAAGATGTTGCTGCTGGAATTATGTTGAAAAAGGAGGTAGTTAAGATACAGGACGGTGCTGCTGAACTGCTGCCCTTCAACTGACCAGCAGCCCCAGGTGGTTAGATGGCCATCTTTAAAAGGCTAGCAGTCCCAATGGCAACTAATTATTGGCTTGACTCCCATGAAATGCAGTCAAGTATCCCAAAAAGATTAAGGCAGCTTTCTGGCCTGCCATTGGCACCCATAACGTAGGCCCATATCAGTGTTTTTAACCTTACTTACACACATACAAACTAAAAGGCAGCATTCAAAGTTACAAAGCTAACTGAGTAATTGGAAACATTAGTGTTTTTTTTAAAAGTCAGAGAATTGTATACAGTGGGATTCCCCAGGAGTCAATATTAGGGCCATTGCTTTTCTTTATGTATATTAATGATCTGAACTTGGGTGTATGGGGCACAATCTCAAAACTTGCAGATACAAAATTTATTGGAAGTATTGAGAGCCTTAAGGAGGAAGATAAGAGGCCTGAAAAGGACACAGGCTGGAACTGATGGCCTTGTGGTAGATGAAACATTGCAGAAAAGTGCTAAGTGATACATTTTTGTAGGAAGAAAGGGGAAAGGCAATACAAACTAATGACTTAAATTCTAATGAGTGCAACAGCAGAGGAATGTGAGGCATATTGTTCAATAAGGCATATGGAATCCAGCTTTATAAACACGGAAATAGAGTACAAAAGCAAGAAAGTTATGGAGAATGCTATACAACACTGGTTGGAGTATTACGTTCAAATGAACTGTCACAGGAAGTGGTAGATGCAGGTACAGTTACAACATTTAAAAGACATTTGGACAGGTACATGAATTGGAAAGATTTAGGGGGATATGGGCCAAATGCAGGCACATGTGACTAGTTTAGTTTGGGAAACTTGGTTGACATGGACGAGTCAGACCGAAGGGTCTGTTTCCATGCTATATGACTCTATTAACTCTATGCAAAGGCATTGGTAAAAGGGTAAAAACTATTCATAGAAACATAGGAAATAGTAATAGGCCATCCAGCATCTTGAGACGGCTCTGTCATTCAATATGTTCAGGCTGATCATTCAACTCAGTACCGTTTTCTCATTTTGTCCCCATATATTTTTGATCCCTTTAGCCCTAAGAATGATATCTAACTCCTTGAAGACATATAAAATTTTGGCCTCAACCACTTTCTATGGCAGTGTTCTACAAGCTGACCAGTCTCTAGGTGAAGCAATTTCTCTTCATCTCAGAGTCCTAAATAGCATACCTTGTATCCTTGAACTGTGCCCCTTGGTTCTGAACTCACTGGTCAGTGGGTCCATTCATTGTGTGTTTACCATGTTTAGTCCTTTTGCACAAATGAATGCTGCAATTCTGCAGAAGGTGCAACAGCAATATGTAATTGATTCTGCAGATGAGATACTTCAACTACATGGGCAGGTTCTGCAAGGTAGGGCTGTTCTCCTGAAAAAAGTTAACAGGTGACAGAAAAGGTGTGATCAAGATCGTGAGGTGTCTGGATAACGTAGATAGGACACCTGTCCATTGCTGGAAGGAAAAGAATGAAAGTACACAGATTTAAAGCAGTTAGCATATGAAGCAGAGGCGATGTCAGGATAGACTTTTTTGTGCAATGAGGAATGTCCCAAGTGCATGGTGAAAGCAGATTTAATCTTGGTTTTCGAAAGGAAATTGGAAAATTATTCATAGGAAAAGCAATTTATAAAGCTATGGCGTAAAGACAGGCCAGTAGGTTTAGCTGAAATATTCTTGCAGAGAGCTGGTACATGTACGACCTGCCAAATTGGCTCCTGTGTTGTGCCCGTTTTATGATTCAATCTATAGCTTCCTTTTTTTGAGGAGCAGGCAGAGGATGCTAAGGAATATGGTGACTGGAGAAGTAACATGTCAATGTTAGCATTGTCAATGGAAAATTATCAGATGAGAACTATAATAAACATTTTAGTTCATCTCAATGATATCCAGGATATTATTTGAAAGAATGCCCAAGATGCATAATTAAACATTTGTAGGTATCTCTCCTAGATTCTGAATAAAGTGCAAAATAAGTTGAAATAACTAATACATTAACACTCTAACTTATTTCCAGTAACTGATTTTCATTACATTGTCCAAATGCAATTCTAAGTGTCATATTTCAATGAGCACAACGCTAATCTGTTGCTGTAACAATTCATATTTGTACAATACTGTTAATCCAAGCTTAAAGAATCAAATGTTCAGACTCCAATGACAACTGAAAATGTATTTCTTCACATCTATTAACTTACACACATACAATAGAAACTTATTATATCCTGCAAACATATTATACACAAACTGTAAAATTGTACATTCTCAAAATCATCTTAATTATCGGGTAACTGTGAATTACAGTCTGATGTTCCTGTCTGTTTTGTATAAGCTGTGGCATTCAAAATTGATAAGTACTTGCTCCTGACATCCAGCATCTTTGGGATTTCTGATATTTCTTCCCTGTTTGAGCAGAAAATATTATGAAAACACAATGCAAAAATTGGGATGGATATCCTTATAGCAATGTAAGGAGTATGATCAAACTGAAGTCAGCATCAGTAGGCCATGTAACAGTGAAAATTTCGCAGGTCAACAATACTAAAGCTATGCACCCTCTTATTCAGAGTAAAGAGAAAAATACATCTTGTCAGAATACCTCATATGATCATCATTTAGCATTTCATGCTGAAATTTCATTTGATTTTATATATCTACGAAAATGAGATTTTAGGTTGTATAACAATAATGTCATCCATATACCAAATAAAATTGGAGAATTTAAGTGACTTTGTATCTCTACAAGTACATTTTAAATTTGATAATTGCAGGGGTGCTAAGTTTAGATAATCAACAAAGAACGGTTAATACTCACATCACGAGTGATCTTCATTGCTGCCACTGAATGATCGGGATCGGATCTGGTTCCTCAACTGTTCTATTAGCTCTGGATTCTCTTCCTGCATCTGCTGTGCAAACTGCTGTCCTCTAGACAAAACAGATAAGAAGTTAACTAAGAAAGGCCATTTTATACAATTTTGAAACATTTCTGTTGATAGAATTGTAGGGTAGTGCAATTAATAAAATAAAAACATGCAAAAGGAAAATGCATCGGCCCCCTGGAGAATGAGGCTGGGGAAATAATAATGGGGGAGCAAGGAAATGGAAGAGGAGTTGAATCATTGTACTTTGCATCAGTCTTCATGGTTCAAGACATGATCAATAATTCAAAACTACTGAATCATCTAGAGGTAAAAAGGGGGAAAAGAAATAAATACAATAATTATCACTACAGAAAAAAGTACTCAGGAAAATAACAGGGCTAAAGGCCAATAAGTGCCTTTGAATTGATAGATTGCATCCTAGGATATTAAAAGAAGTTCTGGCAAAACGAACTGGTAGTGACCCTTCAAGAATCCTGAATTTTCAGCAACTTCAATTTTGCTTGGATTATTTGATGGCTCACATGGTTAAAAAGGTGCATGGATATCAACTCTCCACTTCTATCTTGTATTTCTACCAAGGGTTGTCTTGAGGACTGGAGTCCAGTGGTCCTTGCTTGACATTTGAGCACAGTATTCAAGTGTGTGATGGATTAAGCTACTTGGAAGGAACTACTGATAGGAAAATAAATTTTTGGCATGGAAGAGTAACGTAAGCTTAGTTATATTTGAGGTCACAGGAAAGAGCTGGGCAAGGTAAAAACAAAGGAGAAACAAGGCTGGTTTCATTAAAGAGAAGCTGCAGCTTAAAAAGAACTGTTTTTTAAAAAAATTGGAAGCGTTTAACTGTGAAACTGTCTTTGCTAGTCCTGGAAATACACTAATAGCTAATCTATAGCCTGCCTGTTTACCGTTTCCAATGCAAAACTGAATTCAACAGCTACATAAAATGGACTGAATATTCACTTCCTATTTATTCATGGAATGCAGATATTTCAGGTAAGGAAACATATACTGTCATTACTCAAATACCCTCAGAAGGTTGTTAGTGGCTTGCTTTTTTGAACTACTGCAGTCTATGCAGTGAATTTATTTCTAAAGTGCTATCAGGAAGGGAGTTCCAGAATTTTGATTCAGTACTGAAGAAGGAACAATGATATATAATCAAGTCAGGATGTCAGATGATTTTGAGGGAATTGTGCAAGCAGTGGTGTTCCACAGATCTGCTACCCTTGTCCTTCTAGATAGCAGATAGCAAGGTATTGGAAGGTGCTATCAAAGGAGTCTTGGTGAGTTGCTGCAGTGCATCTTATCAATTGTACCCACTTTTGCAACTTCTACTGGTGGTAGAGGGAGTGAATGTTTAAGGTGGTGAATGAGGTACCAATCTAGCAAACTGCTTCACCCTGAATAGTATCAAATTCCTTAAATATTTTTGCCAGCACTCAAACTGACAAGATTTGATGAAAGGCGGGTGGATAAAAGTTTTGGAGTTTAGATTTCGAAATAGTGACATTTGGATATTGGTTACTTTTCTAAAGAGTTTGTTTAAAATAAAATCAAGGTCAGAGTTCTTGTGGAACAGTGACCTAATCTAGCATTGCTTAGAAAGCATATAGATATGACCCCCGAAGTGTCAATGGAAAATGTTTATATTGTGATGGTTTAGGACAGGTAGAGTAAATATGGAAAGCCATCAACTTGTTTTCAGTTTAGAATAATCAATGAGTTTAGTTTAGTTTAGAAAAACACAGAGGCTGAAAGTTTTTAGGTCAGTTCAGAGGAGACCAGACTGAGTTCAGAAACAAATATACTTTCTCTCTTAGAAAGGAGATTTTCAGAGCAGTTAAGCAAATAAGTTAACTTTACAGAAGTTTAGTTTGTGCAGTTTCCAGAAGGCGGCTTTGGTTAGAAATTTGCAGATTATTAGAAACTGGGATAGTTTAAGACGTCAGTTTTATGGGTGTTCATGTAAGAAGATTCTACAGTTCACAGGAAAGAAATTGGGGAGAATCAATTAATAATTTCATACAGAGGTAAATTCTTTGGACTCGAATTGATGGTGTGGGAAATAGGTTAAAAGTTTGTTGTGCTGTGCCTTTTGATTTTTTTCTAAACTGTTCTCTATATCTGCATAGCTTGGCTATAATCTATTTCTTTGTGTAAGAAAATTTATTATTAAAGAACCGTGCACTCGTGTGTGAAACCATATTTCAGTGACACCCCAGATGTGTGGCTTATGCGTGTGGAAAAGGGTTGAGGAGCCATACATACACTACCCACTCTCTGACCTGTACTTTTAACTGCAGTTGGTCCAGCTGCCTTTCTGGTCAATGCTAACCCTAGTGATAGTGGACAATTCAGTTAATTGGTGGATAAGGCTCTACGAACAATGACACTGGGGCCCAACATACAAAAAAAGGACAAGATTGAAGCATTTTTAAACTAACTCTGCCTCCTTCTGAAGTGTCCACAACATCACAGAAGCTAATCTTTATTTGCTCTCACTTGGGGAGGTGACGGTCTAGTGGTATTATCAGTGGAATGTTAATCTAGAGACTCAGGTAATGTTCTGGGGACCTGGGTTCAAATCTTTCCATGGTGGATGGTGGAATTTGAATTCAATAAAAAAATCTGGAATTAAGAGTCAAATGATGGCTATGAATACATTGTTGATTGTTGAAAAAAAATCCATCTGGTACACTAATGCCCTTTAGGGAAGGAAACTCCTTCCTTACCTGGTCTGGTCTACATGTGACTCCAGATTCACAGCAATGTGGTTGACTCTTCGCTGCCTTCCGGGCAATTAGGGATGGGCAATAAATGCTACCCAGTCAGCAATCCCCTCATCTTGTGAATGAAGAAAAAATAACTAATTCTGTTGGTGCGCTGGCTGATGAGACTTCAGTTCTATTTTCTGTTGATTGTATTTTCTCATTCAATGATGCTGATTGAAGTGATACATCCCAAGTCAGGGACCAGCTCTATTAACAACTGATGTCGTTGTGTGGGAAGTTCCAAGAATCAGAAGACCAGACCACCACTGAGCAAGGGAAATGTCAGCACAAGAGGATGCCTCAAACTCCTGGCAATGGTGCTGTCTCCTATAACCCTCCAGGTTCTTCAATATTCCTCCCCTCTTCAGATATTTATCCCCTTCACAGACATATTAAATATTAGTTTCTACCTCAGTGGCCAGGTGATAAAAAAATCCAAAGATCAATCTCTTTTCAGTTTAAGAACTTCCTCCTCTCTTCCTCAGTAGTCCTTCCATATTTATAACCAGCTCCCCAACAAGTGCTGCTCACCCTCCATGGTGCTGATATTACTTTAATCAATAACCAATGACAGAATTTCTCCCTTTCACTTTCTGCTTGAGCCCCAATATCCCAACTCGTACTATCCATATATTCCATTTCTCCATGCGACTCAATTTCCAATCTCCTTTACTCTGAGCTCTTAACCCTCCAAAACCCTATTCCTAATTCTTACTGCTACTATATTCAGAGTTTCAGATTTCAGACCTCCACTGGTCAAGACCACATCATATCAGTCTCGATCCTGAACATCGACAACCACACTACCTGACTGTCCAGGCTCCAAATGATCACTCCCCATATAGTTAAGACTTTCTGCATCTGTGATCAGGAGGTATCTTGAACCAAGGTCGCACTGTGTTGGGAAATCTATTAAGATTATCACCATATAAATAATCTATAAGCAGTGCGCTGATGATTCATTCCCCATTTTGCAAAATTACGAAAGATTTCAGTTTGCAGCTGTCATGGAATGGGAAATACTTTACCTACATCCTTGGTAGGGAAATCCCTTCACCACTGGTATAGCGAAATAATTCAATCTTCAAGATAGTGTAGCTACTCTCTACCAAAAATCCCAGACAAAATTTTTTTCATTCATTTCTGTCTTGCACCTACTCCAAGTTTTCAGTTGCAAATTGTTTCTGATTTACGAGTGTCCCTGGTTTTAAGGTGCAAATTGTATCTATTACAATGCAAGTTATTCGGGACTGTCAGTAACTGTTTGTATTTTGGTGGTGCCATCTTTTGGGAGATTCTATTCAGGTTCATTACACTAATATCAGATTTTTCTCGACATTTCTTTACTGCAGCTGCAGGAAACATAGGTACATTCAAGTACTGAGGTAGCAAGAACTGCAGATGCTGGAGTCAGAGATAACAAAGTGTGGACTTGGAAGAACACAGCAGGCCAAGCAGCATCAACAAAGCTGATATTTCGAGTCGGGACTTTCTTCAGAAAGATTTCTGAAGAAGGGTCCCAACCCGAAACGTCAGCTTTCCTGTTCCTCTGATGCTGCCTGGCCTGCTGTGTTCTTCCAGCTCCACACTTTGTTATCTCTACATTCAAGTACTGATTTGTTGGTGGCCAAATATTAGAATGCACCAATCAAAAATCTGAGCATCATCTGTGTCTGTGCATTTTAAAAGCACTTTAAGAGATTCAAAACTGTCATTAGGCATTTGTGGGTTACATTGTGCAAACAGGTCAATCAAATTATTATGCAATTATAGAATGTATAGCTTTCATTCAGTCTTGTGGCTCTTCATAAACTGCATGAGCTATAGTTCTGCAGTTTATTTATTTGAGTTACTGGATTAAAGTAGTATTTGTAACTCTACAGAAATACCTAGTAGTTGATTCTCAGAAATAGCTAATATTGAAAACTTAATATTCTGCATCATAATTTATGAAAAATATTAGTCAAAGTTTACATTGTCAAAGGTTACAAGTACAACTACTTACGCTTGTATAAGGCTGCCCATATCTGTAAGACCTCCTACACCTGCTGCAGGACCACTAATCGCATTAGACATCATTCCTGATATTCTGTTCATAATACAAACATATATTGAAAAATATTCAGTTAAAATGTTTTTTATGTAAATTTATAAAAAATGAAAAATATAACTTACAGTTGTTGTAACTGGGGGTTCTGCATCAAGCTTGCAGCCTAGAAGAAAAAAGCAGCAATCTTCAAGTATGAACTAAGTGTTTAGAATCATAAAAAATTTGAGAAGTCAGTCTTTTTCATAAACCAATTTTTGTTCTAATTAAAAATCTCCCTTGGTATGGCATATTAAAGGAAAAAAACTTTCTTACTTCCTCCAACCACCTTCTAGTCATCTCTGACACAACTTCACTGTCTTATTTTACACTATTTTTCTATCTGTAATCCTACATTCTTCTATAATTAATAACTTTCATTCCCCTTGTCATTCTGAAAATCTTTATAGTTTCGCTGTCTCCCACACTGAATTTTCCCCCTTTTTATCGTCGCCTTCCACAACTGAACACTAATTATATTCAAGACTGAGATAGACATTTTTCATCTGTAAGGGAATCAAGAGTTATGGAAAAAGGCAGAAAAGTGGAGTTGACGGTCATCAGATCAGCAATGACCATACTGAATGGCAGAGCTGTCTCAGGGCTTAATTGTTTACTTCTGCTTCTACAACTTATGGTCTCATTATTTTATTCCATTGATAACTTTGGGCTGGAAAGCTGCGCAGTAAAGTTCATCCGAGAATTATACAAGATCAAAACCGCAATCTTAAAAACTGTTTTTGTAGACACACTATTTATTGTATGGTTAGTTTAGTTAAGTTGTTGGTCAATGGTAACCCCCAGAATGTCAACAGTGGGGGATTCAGTGATGGTAGTGCTATTGAATGTAAAAGGGTGATGGTATAACTTTCTCTCATTGGAGATGGTCTTTGACTGGCACTTGTGTAACATAAATGATACTTGCTACTTTTTAGCTCAACACTGAATGTCAACCAGGTCCTGCTGCACATGGACATTATCTGTTTCAGTAACTAAGAATCGCAAATATTGTGCAATATTGTGCAATAAGCACTGAGCATTCCCACTTCTGATCTTATGAAAGGCAACTGTTGTGGTTGGGGGTTGGCAGTTGGAGGCAGGCTGGGGGGAACATTGTGAGGGAGGTAATTGATAAAGTAGCTGAAGATGCTTGGACATAGAGCACTGCCCTGAGGAACTCTTGCAGTTATGTCCTTGGGCTGAGATAATTAAACTTCAACAAGCAGAAGCATCATCCATTGTGCTAGGTATGACACCAACAGACAGAGTTTTCCCCTTTTTCCCATTGACTGCAGTTTTACAAGACCTCCTTAATGTCATACTCAGTCAAATGCTGTCAAGGACTGTCAGTCTCATTTCTGCAGTTTAGCTCTTTTGTTCATGCTTAGGCCATTGCTGTCATTAGGTCAGCAGCTGATTGGCCATGCAGAATCCAAATTAACACTAGCAAGGTGGTATTCCTTTGCAAGTGCCTTTTGATCACGCTGTCGACAGCCACATCCATCATTTTGCTAATGACTGAGCGGATGATTTAGATGAGGGAACAAAATGTGACATCTCCAAGTTTGCAGATGACACCAAGTTGGGTGGGAGGGTGAACTGTGACGAGGATGCTGAGATCCTTCAACATGATCTCAACAGGTTGGGCGAGTGGGCAAATCAAGGGCTGAAGCGGTATAATTTGGATAAATGTGAGGTTATTCACTTCGGAAGCAAAACAAGAAAGCAGATTACTATCTGAATGTCTGTAAATTGGGAAAAGGGAGTGTGCAACAGGACCTGGGCATCCTTGTGCACCAGTCGCTGAAGGCAAGTAGAGAAGGCAAATGGTATGTTGGCTTCATTGTGAGAGGTTGAGTACAGGAGCAGGGATGTGTTGCTGCAGTTATAAAGGGCCTTTGTGAGGCCACACCCAGAATATTGTGTGCAGTTTCGGTCTTCTTTTCTGAGGAAGGATGCTTTTGCTCTCGAGGGAGTGCAGCAAAGGTTTACCAGGTTGATTTGGGATCTGACGTATGAAGAGAGATTGACTAGGTTGGGATTGTTTTCGCTAGAGTTCAAATGAATGAGGGGGATCTCATAGAGACTTATAAAATTCTAACAGGACTGGACAGATTAGATGCAAAGAAGATGTTCCCGATGGACGGTGTGTCCAGAACCAGCGGTCACAGTATGAGGATTCGGGATAGACTATTCAGGACAGAAATGAGGAGATATTTCTTCACCCAAAGAGTGGTGAGCCTGTGCAATTCATTACCACAGGAAATAGTTGATGCCAAAACATTGACTGTATTCAAGAGGTGGCTAGTTATAGCATTTGGGGCGAATGGGATCAAAGGTTATGAGGAGAAAGCAGGATTAGGCTATTGAGTTGGATGATCAGCCATGATAGTGAGGATTGGCAGAGCAGGTTCAAAGGGCCATATGGCCTCCTCCTGCTCCTTTCTTCTATATTTCTATGGAGACCAAAAGGATGGTTGTGAAACGGTATTTGTCTGCTTTCTGTGCGCAGACATGCTTGGACAATTTTCCACATTGTTGGGTAGATGCCAGTATTCTATGCCATACTAAAACTGCTTGTCCACAGGCATTGCTAGCCCCAGAACACAGATCTTCAGTACTATTACAGAATTTTGTCCAGACCTATAGCCTTTGGAATATCCGATGCCTTCAGCAGTTGCTTGGTATCATATGGAGTGAATCGAATTGGCAGAAAATTGGCATCTGTGATGCTGAGGTCTTTGTGGCAATGCAGAGATGGATCATCCACTCGGCACTTCTGCTGAAGGTGAATGCAAATACTTCAGTCTTGTTTTTGTACTGATGTTCTGGGCTCTCTCGTGTTCAGGATGGGGATATTTATGAAGCCTCATCATTGTTTAATTGTCCACTATCATTCACGACTGAATTTGGTAGGATTGCAGAGCTTAGATCTGATCGGGAGGTTGTGTGATTACTTAGCCTCCCTTATCACATACTGCTTCTACTGTTTGGCACGCAAGTGGTATGATATTGTAGGCCTGAATTCCCCAATCCAGTGTACGTTCTATGTTCTTGCCAACTCCAATCTTCAACCTGGAATAGTACTGATTCATTAGCCAATGGGGTGGTTGTGGATGGTAAGTCTGCAGGTGGTTTCCTTGCCCACGTTTGTCCTGACGCTAAAGGATTTCACGGGCTCCAGAGTCAATGTGAAGACTCTTATGGCAACTCCCCCCAAATTGCATCCCATTATGTTGCCACCATCTCTGCCAGGTCAGTCCTGCTGTTGGGAAGGGAGATACGGAAGGTCGGTAGTGTTGGTGTCCTCAGGTATAATTCTGATTATGAATATGTCAAGGTGTTATCTAAACGCTTCCAATTTTTGCATTATCCCTGAAAGTTTGTTAAGGAGGATTTTGCAGCGTTGCCAGGGCTGAGTTTTACATTGTTTATGGTGTCTAGGTTGAACGGCGGTCTGTCCAGTTTCATTCCTTTCTTTCTAATTTGTAGCAGTTTTTGTTATACAACTGAGCATCACTGTTTTTGGGTGACCTACCCTAAATCCTGATCCTCCAAAAGCCGCAAGTTAAAACTTTCCCCGCGTTTAAATCCTTTCTTGGCTATCCTCTCCCTATGACTATGACCTCAGCTAGCTCAACAACACTTACCATTCCTTCAACTCTAGTCTCTTAAATATTCTCCACTCCCTTTACCTCACCGTTGAAGAATTTACTCTCAATCATTTGTCTCCTAAATTCCTTTCCCAATTATTATATCTCAGAGCTCTCTTCATATTTAACACTTTTCTTAAAACACATCTATTCAATTACATTTTTGATCAACCCTCCTAATGTTGCTTTTCCCCAGAATCTATTCTTGTCTGTGATATGCTCTGGAGTATTTTCTAGATTAAAGGTGATATACAAATATACGTAGTTATTGTTCACTCACTTCCCCAAGGGGCTGGTGACAAAAGAAAAACCCAAATTGAAGAGGAAGGAGGAGAAAGGAGAAGAAAGTCAACCCTCCTTTCTAATTTTTCCTTTATAAAGCAAACAAATCTTCCAAGCTACCTAACGTCATCATATGAGATAGATCCATAATTAATATTGTCAAGTTTGGCATAGGTATGTTTTGGACAACCTTTTTTAATCACACTTACCATACTTACAAAACTTGGATTATTCAGTAAACTTGCTAAATCAAATCCCAAACCAGCTCCTGTCTGTAGGTACAGAAATCACTTACAATTACATTCTTATCATCAACCATTATAAATTAAACAAACTGTAGGTAATCAAGTTCTAGACAATATCAAAAATAGAAAGAAATTATGAACAAACAATGCAATGACATGTTTGGTTTCTAGTCATAATTAGTATTAAATTGATATTTAGCAACTATAATAGTCTATTGTTCACATTGAATGCTATTTTAAGTTGTCGCCATTGCATTATTGTTTGTTGAAATGGTTCTGACCTATTTCACAATGTGAGCATTATCATTGTGAAGTAGCTGAATAGTTTTGTTCACTCAGTGTAGCTGCAGGTTTAGCGCTAAATCATTTCTTGCAATAATGAGGTTTAAAGGTTTTATTTTGGGACTGTAACTTTTACTGAAGGTAAAGTGAAGGGGCTGCCATGATCTGTGTCTGACAGCAGGCTTGGTTGAGGTGGCTGTTAAAGATTGAAGGATTGCCTGGATTTGCAGAAAAAAATCTTTAAATTTACTCATGGGACGTGAGCACTGATGGCTAGGCTGCAATTTAATGCTCAGCCTTAATTGCCCTTGAGAAGATGGTGGTGAGCTGCCTTATTGAACCATTGCAAACCATAGATTAAAGTGTTCACATTTGAGGACCAAATTCAGCAGTATGCGAGTACAGTTAAATTGCTAAGGTGTTGAGAGTGTGATGTTGTAAATAGTTATGTTTTTGTTGTAATATCTAGGTCATAATTCTTTGTTTCGAATATAATTTTCAGGAATTCAAGTGTTAAATGGAAACAAATTGGTTAAAGAACCAGGTTAGAGACAAAAAAAAACTGCAGATGCTGGAATCCAGGTAGACAAATACGTGGCTGGAAGAATACAGCAAGCTAGGCAGCATCTGGAGGAGGAGGAGAAGTCAACGTTTTGGGTATTACCTCAGGACTAGATGTGTGGGTACGGGGTGCTGCCAGGGATAAAGAGGGACCAGGGGAGGGAGAAGAGGGTAGCAGAATGGTGATGTCCACCTATCACCACCATTTCACTATCCTCCCCCACCATCTCTCTTTATCTATAGCTTCCCCGACCCTCACATCCAGTACTAAAGAAGGGTAATACCCGAAACATGGACTTCTCCTCCTCCAGATGCTGCCTAACTTGCTGTGTTTTTCTAGCCTCCTGTTTGTCTACCTTGGTTAAAGAACTAGTTTGATTCATGTATATGCAAGTAACAGGTTCGGGCTGATTATATTTCAAAAGTAACTTCTGTTTGTCTTACACACAATCAGTAGTTGATGTGTTGTGTTAAATACATTAACAATGGACGAGCTATTTTGTAAAAGAGCCAGAAGGTTTCTACTTATTTAATAAAGGATAAAAATTATGTAAGTATCTGATGAAAAGAAGGTAAAAGGCAGTTGGTCAACAAGTTCTGAAGATAGGTTATAAAACTCCTATTGAGGATATAAATTATTCATATGGGTTAAACATATTGGTTAAGACTTTTACCTTTGTTGAAAGTAAAATAATGCATTTGAAGTTCTGTTTGAACCATCCCACAGTAAGCCAAATTGTTGTGGAGTTTAAAACGTTATTTTGTTTAATTTGTATTGTCACAGAAGGCAGTCATGGTTTTGGGTTAGTGCAGAGGCAGCTCACCAAGATTGGAAAGCCAAAGAAGATGAATCTTAGGCCTGCATTAAGTAGGGAAAATATTAATTTCATTCTTCACCACACATAATATGGGTAAGGGCTTTAACTCAGTTTGTAATTCACGAGTGGGAAGAAATTGGAAGATTCGCCTAACTTGAAAGTAGAGGAAGAAGTCTACAGAATGCTTTATAGTAAAAACCAGCAGTTAGGCTTCAGAGCATACTCTAAGTTAAGTTTGAACTGACAAGTCCATGGCTGTTTTGAAGAGAGTTTGGAAGATTACCACGAGCTATTGGCTAAGCGATGACCCCATAAAATTTCATACCTTGGAGGAGGATAATTGGAACACTGGGGAAAAATTTGAGAAATTTCCAGAGAACGGTGGCATACCTATGGATCGTTCCCAAAAGAGGTGAACGAACCTTCAAGCTTTTGTAGCATATGAGGGAATTCTAGGTGGGATGAAGGCATGTATACATTTTTCTGTTGATGCAGGTTGCTCACACTTCTCTCACAATGGACCATTTAATTCCAAGATTAAAGAGAGCTTGGGCTTCAAAGCTTTCTACCTGGATACAAAGCTAGTGTGATTCACAATGTCATAGATTTGGCTTGGAGAGGCAGGGGTTTATAAGATTTCTGTGAAAGTCACAAAATTATTCTTCTAGGATTCAGGTGATAAAGCAATTAAAGACAACATGTCTGTATGGTTCACCATGTAGTGAGCCGGAGTGAGCTACTACTTGGATTGAAAAGACTAAATGTGATTATTTGAAACAAAGCTGACAGACTCACCTATCTTGCACTAGAATGACAATTGTCAGGAAGAGCCATAATTGTGAAAAACAGGTCTAGGGTTAAAAGTTACCAGGCTGGGAAAGGAAAGAGATAGAAGTAAACCCTTAGGAGCTACAAAGCACTTTAGACTGGAACTTAGGAGTAGGAATAGAGGCCTTTTGAGCCTGCTGCACCGATCTGGGCAAATCAAAAGACTATTTAAAGGAAAACAACATTATATATCTGTGAAGTGTGTTTTCTTGTTTGTTCAACAAGAAAAGAAGGGGGAAGTTGCACTCTGCAATTTAATGTAGAAGCTGTCTACAAAGTTGGTGTTCAGTTGAAGGTACTTTAGCCTTTTGTTACAGTAAAATTCTTAACATGTAATGATTTATGTTATCTTTTCAGCTATGAACAAGATGTTTGAAGTTCTTTGTAACAAATTCTAAGAGCCATCTAAAAAGTACAATTCTTCACTTTCTGAAAATAAATGATGGATATCTTAGGATTTCCACATTTTTACTTATAACATACATGCACCAAATGCACTGTGTTAATTGATAGTATCCCAAAGAACTCTCAGTTTGCCCCAAATTACCAGTCAATCATCCATTTATAACGAGCTGGAGATTCACAACTTTCAAAGAGTTACTTGCATTTGAACCAGCAAGAAATAACATGAGAAAACGTGTACATTTCGATGATCTGGAAAACCTAGAGGTGCAAATTTTACCTTTAAACCAGATAAGTTAGAATGCATCACATGGACTGCAAATTCACTAGAACACCACTTACTGGACTTGATGCTTCTCCGATTTTTTGTTCCGCCAGTTTCAGATTTGATTTAAAAGTGCCATTTTCAGGGTCCAATTCTACAGCCTTTTTGTAATAAGTAATTGCTTCTGAATGCTTATTCAAAGAAGTCAATGCTAAACTGAAAAAAAAATAACTTTCAGATCTTCAAAAAAAGGATACTTCTCTCCAATGAATATGAAAGCTGTGACTACATACCCCATCCTTCCGTAAGCTTTGCTATAGTCTGGGTCAATGGCTATTGCCCTCTTGCAATCCTCTATTGCTGCAGTGTAATTATTAAGTTTGCTCTGAGCAGCAGCCCTAAACAAATTAAGTTGAATTTTAGTGTAGGAACTCTGATTAAAAGAAAAATTAGGTTATATCATATTTCAGAGTTAGATAGAAAATGAAACTACTACTTGCCAAAATGTACTGTTTAAAAATTTAGGTTTTAATATTTATCAAATATTAACTTGTCACTGAATAAAATTTCTGTAACAGTTTGTAACCCACAGAAGCATAGTCACATAAAATACGTAAATGTTGGCAAAATCGAAACAAGTTGCTTCAGAATGATTCTCTACAAATATTTTGTTGATCAATAATTTTAAAGATATATTTCTCATTAAATAAAAAGTAATTAGCCAATCACATGGCATTGTTACAAACGTATACGGAGATATTTGCTAAACATTCTTTCACTGGATTATGTCATTTTTTTTGAAGATCACCAAATCTCTCAGGTTAATATCTAGATAAACTAAAGATCAAAATTATTATTAGATAGTCTTACCATATAAATGATATATATTATGTAACCTAATTGCACTCAATCCAATCATGTAATTTTAAAGCATTAGAATATAACATTCATATAATAAAGGCAAACCAACATTACGTTAACTGTCATTACATTTACCTATTCTATACAACTCAATGGTAATTACATAGTGTTGATACACAAAAAAAATTCAAGTTTTATTGAAATAGTGGTTACTTCAATAATGTAAAACAGATTGCGTGGAGTGAATGTAAGGCTTTTACTCAATCTCAGGGTTCCAGTAACTTGAAATGAGAGGTGGAGGATATATTCTTCGTGTCAAGTGTGATAAAATACTAAATTTGTTGAAAAAGCACGTGACAATTTTGATGCACAAAGCAATAAGTCTTCCCCTAGGTCTGTTGAATCAAGTTTACAATTGCCTTTCTAGTGACACATACGGTTTTAATCTTTGTGAATTTAATCAGGCTGAAACAGATAAATCAATACAAATTAGACAGCAGAAAGAGTTATTACCGGTTACAAAAGTAGACGGCATTATTTGGGTCCAATTCAATTGCTTGAGTATAAGAGTCTATAGCAGCTCTGTAATTCTCCTCTTTTATATAGTTGTTGCCTGAATATTTGAACAAACACAAATTAGGAGTTAATCATTCACATTTGTTTGAAAATATACTGTCACTCCTTTTTTTATTATTTTATTTACTTTCAATTATGCAGCACCTGGGTTTCCCAAACTGTGGGGACAAAATTTGGGGATGACAGCTCACAAATGAAGACCATGGAGTGTAGGCAGGAGGAAGTGAGGGAGGGAAAATGCTGAACATGGACCATGGTCATTGGCTGCTGTGGATACTGGATTGACAGGCCAATCTGAAAACAAAAATGGTCAAAGGAGAGTTCTGTGGCCCTTCGATTTGCTCTGGAGTTACAGGTCTTTCAGCACTACAGCTGGCTTTCCTCTGTCCTCTAGAACTTTTAAAGTTTTTAGAACTTTTAAAGTCCAAAAAAAAACAAAGGTTTAGCAAACAGGCAGAATGAGAGACAGGGCGAGATGGATTTCGGGAGAGCAGCCTGCACCTAGCATTTCACATGGCGAGATCTATGAGACAGGATTGGCATTGGCTCCAGAGAGGGGCTGTCTCTGGAAGAAAAGCAGCAACTGGGTCAATGGGCTGAGGAGTGGCAGATGGAATTCAACTTGGATAAATGCAAGGTATTGCATTTTGGTAAAACGAACGAGGCCAAGAATTATACAATTAATGGTAGGGCCCTGCATGGTGTTTAGAATAGAGACACCTAGGGGTTCAGGTACATAATTCTTTGAAATTTTCATCACAGGTGGACTGGCTGGTTAATAAGACATTTAGCATGTCTGCCTTCATTGCTCAGCCCTTTGAGTATAAGAGTTGGGACGTCATGTTGTACAGGACGTTTCTGAAGCCTCTTCTGGAGTACTGCTGTAGGAAAGATATAAATTGGAGACTGGTCAGGAAAGATTTACCAGGATGTTTCCAGGAATGGAGGGTTTAAGTTATAAAAACAGGCTGGATACTCTGGGGCTTTTTTCATTGGAGCATAGGAGGTTGAGGGGTGACTTTATAGAGGTTTATATAAAATCATGAGGGGCATAGATAAGGTGAATAGCAAGGGTCTTTATCCTAGGGTGAGGGAGTTCAAAACTAGGCGGCATGTTTATATGGTGAGAGGAAAAAGATTTAAAAAGGACATGAGAGGCAACAATTTTACACAGAGTGGTTTGTATGTGGAATGAACTGCCAGAGGAAATGGTGAATACAGATATGATTACACCATTTAAAAGACATTTGGATAAGTACATGAACAGGAAAGGTTTAGAGAGATATGGGCCAAATACATGCAAGTGAGACTAGTTTGGTTTGGAAACATGTTTGGTGTGAACTCGTTGGCCTAAAGGATCTGTTTCCATGCTGTATGACTATGAGTGGAAACAAGACAGAGATGAATGAATGATGATTTATTATCACATGTATTTTACAGTGAAAAATTTAGTAAATTAGTGAAACGTTTCCACTGTCGCCAGTGCCATTTTGAATAGTTTAAGGATAAAAAAGTGAGTCCATAATCCTTTCACCATCGCTCTGCCACTACCAGCGCCAGATCCAACAAATGAAGTAGCCACTCCTCAGGTGCCATCTTTCACCGCTGGGCCTACCTGATGCCAGCTCCACTGATGCCTGGTCCTGTGCTTGCCCCTCAACCAGCCACCTCCTTGAAGACACCAGAGTCAGGGTCTGGGCTCACCAGCTACCCTGGCTCCACCTGCCAGGGTCCTACTCCAGGCTCACTAGCTGCTTCGGCACCATCCACCAGAATCTCATTCTGGGCTCACCAGCCGCCACCAAAGGATGAGGGGTCCCAGAATGGCCAGCATTGAGAGGCCGAATCCAGGAGGCACAAGGTCTGGCACACCGTCACTCTGAGCCACAGAGGGCTGACCGAGTGCCAAAAATAGCTGCCCTATAGCAGATCCTAGGAGTATTATTTTTCAGTTTAAAGCATGATCAGCAAGGGTTTGCAAATACCAAGAAGCTAAGCCAACTACTGGAATTAAAGAATAAAAATTTTAATTTTTTGCATTCTGAAAATCTAAACCTGAGGGCGAGGGAAGGGTAAACACTTTAGGGTTTTTACTTGCAGCTGGTACACGCAGGCCTTATAACATAAAAGGTTCAAGTTCTCCCAGCATAGAGTGCAAGCAGCAAGAGTGTGGGTGAGCCTAATGTTCAGTGGTGGGTAAGCTTTGGAGGGGATTCAGAGAGACAGGATTTACATGCATTTGCAGAGACAAGAACTGATTAGGGATAGTCAGCATGGCTTTATGTGTGTGAGGAATTGTCTCTCTCAAACTTGATTTGAGTTTTTTTGAAGAAGAAGAGACCAAGAGGATAGATGAGGGCAGAGCAGAAGATGTTACCTACATAGGCTTTAGTAAGGCCTTGAACAAGGTTCCATGGTAGACTGGTTATAAGGTTAGGTCACATGGGATCCAGGGAGAGCTCGCCAATTGGATACAAAATTGGCCTGACGATAGGAGACAGATAGTGGTGGTAGAGGGTTGTAACCAATGGATTTTCACAAAAATCGGTGCTGGGTCCACTGTTGTTCATCATTAATATAAATGATTTGGATGAAAAGATAGGAGGCATGGAAAGTAAGTTTGCAGATGGCACCAAAACTGGTGGCATGGTGGACAGTGAAGATGGTTATCGAAGAGTGCAACGGGGTCTAGATCAGCTGGGCCAATGAGCTGAGGAGTGGCAGATGGAATTTTATTCAGATAAATGTGAGGTGTTGCATTTTGGTAAGACAAAACAGAGCAGGATGTACACAGTTAATGGTGGGCCCTGGGAAGTGTTGTCGAACAGAAAAACCTAGGGGTTCAGGTACAGAGTTCCTTGAAAGTGTCACAGGTAGACAGGGTGGTGAAGGTGGTGTTCGGCACACTTGCCTTCATCGGTCAGTGCACCGAGCATAGGAATTCGGACATCATGTTGTGGCTGTACAGGACGTTGCTGAGGCTGCTTTTGAAGTACCGAGTACAGTTCTGGTTACCCTGCTATAGGAATCATGTTATTAAACTGGAAAGGATGCAGAAAAGTTTTACGAGATTGTTACCAGGACTGGAGGGTTTGAGTTATAAGGAGAGACTGAATGGGCTGGGACTACTTTCCCCTGGAGCGTCGGAGGCCGAGGGGCAACCTTATAGAAGTTTACAAAATCATGAGGGGCATAGATAAGCTGAATGGCCAAGGTTTTTTTCCTCGGGTAGGGTATTCTAAAACTAGAGGGCATAGGTTTAAGGTGAGAGGGGAAGATTTAAAACAGACCTGACGGGTAATATTTTTACACAGATTGTTGTGCATGTGGGGAATGAGCTGTCAGAGGAAGTGGTGGAGGTTGGTACAATTACAACACTTGAAAGGCATCTGGACGGGTACGTGAATATGAACGGTTTAAGAGGGATTTGAGCCAAATGCAGACAAATGGGACTAGTTTAGTTTGGGAAACCTGGTCAGCATTGACAAGTTGGACCAAAAGTCCATGTCCATGCTGCTTGACTCTGTAATAACTGTGTATTAGTTATTTTGAAAAAGAGAGCCTTTGTATTTGCCATCTTGTAAAATATTAAATATTGTGACACCTAGGAGATTAATGCATCCCTGTATGTTGTGGTTTTGAGTTTAATGATAATTATTGAGGATATTGATTAATTCTTCTATTTTTGTTTCTATGTAAGATGAAACACTGCATGTGTCAATATACAAATACAGAAGGCATTGTTTCTACATCAGTGCATCACCTAATATGTGAGATAATGAGAATCAAAAAGTAGCCCTTGAAAACTAAAAGGCAGTAATAACATATATAATATGTATATATTTAGATGTATGATGAGAAAACTATCCATCAATCTTGATTTTACCTCTGGAGGACGTAGGGCAAAGAGAGAAGATGCGGAGGATGTACTGGAGTTTACAGACAGCCAGATAATAATGTTCAGAGGTCATAAAAAATAGTATTCTGTATCAATTTAAAAGAAAGTGGAAAATCATTCAGTGTTAACATCACTAACCCTGACAACTTTTAAAAAGACAGTGAGAGTTAAAATATCAATGAGACTTGCAAATAAAATCACTTAATCATATCACAAATGTTTCAAAATGCTTCACATAAATGTTACAATGGAGAAGGAATATTAGAGGTTATTTCTGAAAACTCTTTAATGGTGAGAGGGAGAAGATTCAAAAAGAACCCAAGAGGCAACTTTTTGACACAGAGGGTGGTGCGTGTATGGAAAGACATTTAAAAGGGCATCTGGTGGGTACATGAATAGGAAGGTTTTAGAGGGATCTGGGTCAAATGCTGGTAAAAGAGACTAGATCAGTTTAGGATATCTGATCAGCATGGAGGAGTTAGACCAGAGGGTCTGTTTCTGTGCTGTATAACTCTATGATTTTATAAAATAAAGATCACTTAACAAAGCAAAACAAAATGAATGGAGTGGAAAATTAAAATTTACAAACTTATTTTCCTGTAATATCACCCACAGACTATAGATCATGGCATACCAACTAACCACTGAAGCCTTCAAAACTCCTGGAAAAAATGCGGTTGATTTGTAGGCAAAAAGAAAATAAAAACTGCCAGTGTTGGTATAGCCTGTCACCAGTCAAAATGAGCAATTCAAAATAAAATCAACATGGGGGCATGTTTTATTGACCGAATTAATTCTACGTGGATACCTTTATCCACAATTCAAATTTCTTTTTGAAGAACTGTAAAATTTACTATTCTCAGCATCTAACACAAAGAGCTCAACAAATTCATTCCAAGTCATTTTGGGTATGGCATCATCAATAACAATGGATCAATTTGATAATCTGAATGATCCCTCCACAATAATTAACCTTCCTCTCCATCCATTCAACTACATATTTTACATTTTTTGAACAATCTGATGACAATTTGTGCAATAGTATCCTGAAAATTGATAATGAAATCAAACAAGACACCAAATGGGGCAACACACATATTTCCACTCCATGAGGGCTTTTTTTTCTCCCAACTATCCACCTATTTGATTTGGTGCAGATGTGATCCATTAATGGCCTGCTACACTACAAAAGATTGAACTTCAGATATTAGACTCCCTGACATAACAAATGTTTTCTCCATCCCATGGGTGTTTCTTGCTTGGTTAAATGGGACATGAACAAGTCCCATGCTCATTAGCTATGTTGTGCAGAGTAGGCCACCTCCATGCTTGCTCCATACGTCATAGATGAACAACTTCACTTCATCCTCATCCTTTCAACCATTGTCATGAACATGCACAAAGACTCCTAGAAGGAACTTGATTTTTGACATGGTTTTACATTTGAAAATCACCCCCACCCCACCAACTTTATTTATATCAATTATGCATGCTAGTGCCATTCTGAATCTTGTCTTCTCATGTCCTGTGGTTTCTCTAACATTACTTTGGAATCTTTCTGCGCTATAGCTTAGATGTTGAGCAAACCAAAATTCATGGCCATTTCATTCGGGTTGCTGATGTGACATAATTGGTATTCATGCATTTGCAGCTGTCTGATGAAAAATCTCGAAAAACTGGTATTTTTGGCATCGAGATATTATGGTAGTCTCAGAGTGATCTTAATTTTCTGCCAAACATTAACCATTTTCATTCTATAAAGTGGCTGCATTAGCTATCTGCTGTTCAGAAATCTTTGTTGAACTCCGTGTTCGATTTACCCCACTTGAGTATTTGCATCTTTCCTGGTAACACTGCAACCATTCTGATGGTTTTCGAGGACCCATTCCATTACAATCTTCTAAAGACAGGCCAGCTGCTGGTTCCTGTTCCTGACATTGTGGCTACGTCTTCTTTAAAACAGTGCAAAGAATAGATTCAATGTAGTGCTACTAAAAACAGGGAAATGCTGCAAAACGCAGCCATACTTGATATTGCCAGTATTTCCTGTTTTACTCCAGATCTTTAAAATTTAGAGTACATTGTTTTCATAAAAGAATTCTTTCAAATTTGAAATACATTTTTACAGCGAATAGACTTGGATTAGCCATTGATTATGCTAAGCCTGAAAACAAGGAAGCATTATCTGAGCACGACTTGCTGTCATGAGAATCCAGAAAAGAGATTTTCAGGTGTTTTTCTAATCTCCTCCAGAACCAGCTGAGGTGTTAATATTTTGAGTCTACATTATGTGCCAATGCAGTTAGAAATCTGAATAAACATTTAAGAAAACTTTTAACAAATACAATGTTCCATGCCTCCCCAACTTGAGGTGCAGAGCAATGTTCCCATCGCTGACTATTTAATCAAGTCTAAATAACAAGTACATTTTATATTACAGAAAGATGACTGCACCTTTAATACACTAATTTGCAGCAACAAACACTAGCATCTGTTAACCAGACAGAATTGCTCAAGGATAACAAAAATATCATGATCATTTTGAGTACTATGATTTAGCATTTTAAAATGATGACACAATAACTGCATGCACACATGGTTACCTTCATTTTTCAACTGTTCAGCTCTAATTACATCTTGTGCAGATGGAGTAAAGTCTGATGGAGTGTTCCATATTAATTCCTTCTAGAAGAAAAATAATATTGCACAAATTTTATCAGTGTTTTTGTCAGTTGAATGGCAGTCTAATGAGACGACGATGATTCTGAATTGTAAGTTACTTTCAAAACAAATTATTAGGAACTCAAATCCTGCCACTTACTGAGCGTGGTCCTCCTCCTTATACTAGGATACAAAACAAATAATGAACCCCAATGCCTTCATTCTCTAGAAGCTGCTGACGCTTTCTAGAGTTTGATTCTGGCATAACACAAGAAACCCAACAATATCGTGCCCAAACAAGCACCCTTCATGCAAGACTGGACACTGAGTGTTAAAAGGCTGTTGTCACTGAGGGATTGAAAACTTTGTGTTCTGCTGAAAAGGATCCTAGGCAGTTCTCAAATGTCATGCAGGAGAACCAGTAGACTAAAGAGACCTTTCTCGCTCCCTGAAGCTGCTCTACCTACTGAATTCACCTTTAAACACAAATGCCAACTGCTCAAGTACAGAAGCTATTGCAGCTAAATTCAGAAGTAAAAATTTTTCAGTCCTTTGAATACTGAGCATATTTTACTCAATGTGTGAGATTTTAAATCGATAGCAACAACCTTTATTTATATAGTGCCTTTAAGGTTACAAAACATCCACAAATATTTCACAGAGGCATTATAAAACAAGTATAATGACAAGACATGTCAGGATATATTTTGAAAGATGATCAAAAGTTTCAACAAGAGTTAGGATTTAAGGATTGTTTGAAAGAGAAAGGAAAGCTAGGTAGTGAGACACGAGATTGAAGAAGAGAATTTCGAACTTAGGGCCCACCCAACTAAAGACTCAGCTACCAATTGTGGAATAATTTAAACAATAAAGAGGCTGCAATTTGAGGAGTGCACAAATCCTGAAGTGTTGTAGGACTGGGGGAGTTCAGAGGTAAGGAGGAGTCAGGCAATGGATGGACCCAGAAACAATGATGGGAATTGTTAAAATCGGAACTATGTTTAACTGGGAACAAGACCAGGTCAGTAAATTACAGGAAGAATATACTAAAGGGTGAAGCATAAGACAGTATATAAGATTCAAATTTACATAAAGTAGAACATGGAAGGCCTGCTACTAGTGCTTTAGATAAGTCAAGTCTGTGAGTAACAAAGGCATGGATGAGGGTTTCTGTAATACATGATACAGTGTCAAGTAATGATATGGAGGTAGAAATAGTCAATCTCAGGAATGGGCACAGATGTGTGGCTGAAAGCTCATCAAGACATCAACAGGACAGAGCATTCAGCTTAAACAATTCCAGGGAGTGTGACAGTATCAGTAGCTAGAGGACAGAAGACAATGAATGGTTTCAGTATTCTGAATATTTATTTGAAAGGCATTTCTGCTCATCTAGCACTGGCTGCCAGACAAGCAGCTGAGAATTTAAAGACAGTGGAGCAGCTGAGAGATGTAGTAATGAAATAAAAACTTGACATTGTCAGTGTGTCTGTAGATAACAACACTGTTTTCCAATAATATCTCCAAAGGTCAGAACTGAATGGCAATGCACAATTGACATCCAGGGAGTTAGCATAAATATTTGCAAGAGATGGCAGAGACTGGGAATTCTGCAATTAGTCTGTTGACTCTCCACATTTGGCCCACCAACTGCAATACAGGTCAGGAATGGCAATGGAATACTCTCCACTTGTCCAGATATGAGCAGTTAACAACAACGAAGAAGCTTGACCCCTGCAGGCCAAAGCAGCCTACCTGATTGAACAGGACCCTATCCACTACTGCAACAATGCAAATCATCTACAAGGGTGCGTTGCAGCAACTTGCCAAAGTTCCTTCAAGAGTACTTTGCACACCTACAACTTCTGTCATCTAGACAACCAAGGGCAGCAGGCACATTGTACACCTTCACTTGCAAGTTGTCCTCCAACATACAGACCATTCTTATTTAGAAATATCAACATTCCTTAACTATTCCCAGAACTCCCTCCCAACAATCTTGTGGGTGTACCTACACAATAAGGACTGCTGCCATTTGAGAAAGTGGCTTATCACCAATTTTCAAGGACAAGTAGAGATAGACAGTAACTACTGACCTTGCCAGTGACACCCATATCCTTTGGATAAATAAGAACCTTTTCGTGCTCAATAAGAGAATAAGGAACATTGTAATCTATTTGTAATAATGTAAAAAGATCTTTAGTATGAAAATGTTTCACTACATTACAACAGTGTCAAAGTGAATTTAAGAAATCTGTTAACGAATTAAATAAATAAATAAAAATCTCTGGCCACTATGAAACTGGGCCACAATTACTCAAACCTTTATGCAAGACCCTCAACTGAACAAATTAGGTAAAATTAACAATCAAATATGTCCAGTATTTAAATAATAAAGAAAAGACTGATATTTTCTACCACAAGACAGAGATAACATTTCCAAAGTGTCCATTAACCATTTAGTGGATACTGCTCCGTCTATGGAAGGGACTGATTGAAAGCCACAACTTAAACTTGGTCCTCTACTAACTCAGTACGCCTTCCATCACTCATCACCATTAAACAGGATCAGAAATCATGGAACTGGAGAAATAGGCTCAAGTATAATCTTAAAAATACTATGAGCAATTTTATCTAAACAATTTTTATGTTTATATAAAACACTCCTTTAGTCATATGTTTCAACCATGTATATACAGAACATTACATATATCAAAGCATTCAATAATACATACAATCATGGTTTAAACCTCCCAGTCCCAGTGCACACAGTCTCTTGCACAACAATGCTTTTGGTCTTTGCTTGCCAAACAAAATTGAATAATAAATTCTTAGTCGTCTTCACATTAAGAAAAAGTACATCAAAACTTAAATATATAGGGGAGACAAATTTTTGACAGGCTCCAGATCTCTGCTTTATAATAAACTTCTATGTTATCTTGTTGTGGGCTCCTAAATAGTCAGGCTTCCCACCAGAAGTTTATATTTGTAAACTCAACTATGTTGTTTATACTAGTCCTCCAGTTGTCTCTCATTATACAATTCTTCTATCTATCTGAGGCTAGAAACTCAGTTGTAGAATTGCACCCACATTTCCATGGTATATCAATGTGCTTCCTACATACTTTGTTCATTAGTTTCCTTTTAAGCATTTATTTAGACCCACCTTAGTAATGGCTGCAGAAAATATCTCTGTTAGAGAAGGTGAGACTGCCAGATCGATATCCTGTGAGCTTATTTTGAAGACATTTTCTAAACATTGCATGGCAACTGAAACAAAAATACATCTCATTACTACCATTCATTGACCAAAAGTAATGTCCCTGTAGAATAGCAATTATCATACAATGAAATTCCAAAATATAATCTACATTACAAACAATAGCTATTACTAAAGCATTCAATTGTTCAGGGTATTACAGTTTTGTGATTCAGTACGCCAAGTCCTCACTTAATGTTGTGGCTGCATTCCCAAAAAGTGCAACTTTAAGTGAATCAGATTTTCTGATTAACTACAACTTTTACAACCGGTTAAGCCTTGTAGGACTCTTCACCTCAAAAAAAAACACTGAAACATTAAATCCTGTAAGTAGAAATGCTTCCAATTGATAAAATTACATTACATTTTTAAAAAAAATTTTAAAAATCTTTTGAAAAAGTCAACCTTCTTCCTGCCTTCTACTCCTGTCTCCGTGTCCTGACTCTACCAGACACTTTCTCTTAGTGAAACCACCATTCCCTGCCTCTCCTGCTTGTTGCTTCCCCCTCCAAAACCTTCGCTGAGCAATAGTTCAAGAGATAAGCAACAAGAGGCCAGAAGAACGGCTTCGACTTCCAGGCAGAAAGCTGCAAGCTGGACAAGGAAGGTTAGGGAGCAGAGACTATGAACCTGACAGTCAGCAGCAAGAGGGAGGGCAATGGAGTGGCAGAGGTCATGAATTAGTGGGTCAACAACAAGAGGATCAGGGTCAGGGTGTAAACTGCAAAGTAGAGATTTTGACAGTAAGAGGAAGTGTCAGGGTTCAGCAAAGGCTGTGAACGGAGGGTCGGCAGAAACAGTGAGTGTTAGGGAGTGGATGAGGCTGCTTCAAATGGTCATAATCAGGTCACGTGGCTTTAGGTCAGACACGGTGCAATTTGACTTTATAATAAAAATTCCAATGCTAAATGCAACTAAGGGTCCTATTAACTGATGTTAAAGTGAAACAACTTAAAATGGGGCTAGTTAAACAGGGATTCACTATAAAGGCCACAGAGTAATCATAATTCATAAGCTTATAATTATCCATTTTGGTTATCAAATCATGAAGGTCTATTTTCATCTGCCACACATTCAATTTCCTGATGAGAGCAAAGAACAAATATTTAAAAACTTCCAGGGGATGTGAGCATTACTGTCCTGACCAGCATTTATTGCCCTAACTGTTCTTGAGAAAGTGGTGGTGAGCTGTCTTCTTGCACTATGCAGTCCAAATGGTGTACATACACCTACAATGCTCTTGTAATGATATTCAGTTAGAAAAATAGGTTTGTTTGAGAAATAAGAATAACTAATTAGGTAGGACACACATATGAAAAGTGTGAAGTTATGTATTTTGGGAGTACTAACAAGGCAAGTAAAAGATGAATGGTACGGCTAGTACTGAGCATCAGTCGGACTTTGGTGCACATATATTTGATCCTTGTAGACAACAAGCCAAGTGAATTGGTTGGTTAAGAAAGCATATAGGATATTTACCTCATTAACTGAGGCATTAAATACAAGAATTGAGGGGTTATGATGGAGCCTGTGTAAGGCATGAGATGAAAGGAATACAAAACATTATGTATAAATTGACCAGATAAAAGTTTACAACTCATAAAGCAATCTTCACAAAATCATTAAGAAACAATGATACAGCGTCACATGAAATTGGGAAGAACCTATACAGAGGGTTAAGACCTACATTTGTAAAGAGGTCCAAATGGTATTGAAAACAAATCCTTTCACTGAACTTTCAGATTTATGAGAAGTATCATAATAATTTTCACAAAGCATTTTCTTCCACTTGGAGAAGATATCTTGCTTTAAGGTGCTGTAAACATTGATGGATATTTTGTTCTTATTCTATTGTTAAATATTTTAATCATAGCTATTTTCAGATCTTATGTTCTTAGATATTCTTGAACAGTTGAGTAACATCAAACTGGATTCCATTAGATTTGGTATTCGTTTTTTGGTGGTTTTTTAGCAGTCCTATTTGTCCACAACCATACTGTTTGTTAATGTTCTATTAATAAAATTGTAAAATTAATAAATCATTTAGGTTTATCTGTTACAATCAAAACAAACCTTAATACTCTGAAGTGGGGAAGTATATTTTCTGAAGAGAGAAATCCAGACCCTTAAATATACCCAAGACAAGACCAAGACTACAACAACGTGCATTCTGTAAATTAATTGTTTCTGTGCAACGTAAGTCAATGGCAAATATATATTTTAGAATGAGAACCAAAGCAGAAAATCAAAGTAGTACTTGAATCGTAAACTTACAGAAACCTGATAAAAGGTGACAGGAGGGGTTCAAGTTCCTTGGATTAGGTGAACAGAAGTGCAGTTAGAATTATTGGAAGGAGGAGAGGCGTAAGAGTTCATTCATTTTTACAATTTTAAAATTTCTTGGTTAATACAGGCTTGTCTGCTTGTGCTTACTCCTTCAAGAATCCTGTGTTAACTGAATGCCAGCTGTAGGCTTCCTGCCTTTTGCTTCCCTCAGCAGCACACTCAATTCCTTAACATGCAGCAAATATGTAGTCTATGGATGTAGATTATTGTGGCCTTGGTACAGCACAGGCTTTTTGCACAGCAAAGCACCCTGAAAAGTGCACCAATAACATGTTACACTTTTGGGACACAGACAAGGAGAATTTTTTCTGTCTGAGAGTTATGCGACTTTGGAACTCAGAGAGCACCGTGACCTCCAACACTGAAATACAACATGATACCACAGCACTAGCAGACTGGCATTGCTAGTATATAGAAATGATGTACAAAACATGATCAAATTCCACATAACTTATGTATTCACGGCCGAGATCTGCCAATATGACAACTAAAAGCAAGTGTTTATTTTTCAGTCGACTCCTATAATTTGGAATATTTCCGAAGGGTTCGTACATACCTCAATTCAATCAAAACACAAAGTTGTGAACTCCTGCCGATCAGAAAAACCATCTCACCAGCTGCTTTGCAGCTATAGGCACCATGAAACCCTTGATGCTCCAAAGCTCCCTCCCTAGCTTTTCCTTTCCCCTCCTCCCCAGATCACAAGTCTAGTATTCCCTGATCTCAGTGCTACAAAATGTTTTAACTTCCTATTTAATTCACTAAAATTCTAAGGCATATTTCAGTGGTCTTAGAATCTCTTTCTCCAACATTCCAAGAATGCTCGGCCTATGCTCTAAAATTTTGGATTCCATTCAAAATAATACTACTCAAAGTCCCATTCCAGTACTCTCATGCTCTGTTCACAATGTTCCATGTTCCCAGGAAAATCCCCAATGACAGATTTTGTTACCCATGATGCTGAGTTATCATAATGCTGTTGACTCAGTGATTCCTTGAAGCACTGCTAGCATACAGAAACTATGTACAAAACATGAACAGATTCCAAGTAACTCAAGTTACCATTACTGAGATCTGCAATAAGATAGACGAAAAAAAAACGTCTATTTATTCAATTGACTTCTATAATTTGGAATATTTCCAAAGGGGTAGGATTAGCATATGCTTCGACTCAGCCAAAACACAAAGTTGGGACTTCCTGCCAACGAGAAAAATCATCTTACCAGCTGCTGTGCAGCCATATGGCACCAAGCAAAAGGATCTGAACAACAAAGTTAGGAAATCTCTGTAGGGTGGTTAAAAAGAGCTAAACTTTGAGCTAATCCCATTGGGATAAAGTGGAATCCCTCACAATGGGTAACCGCTGCGACTACTACATACAGTACAGCTGAGGCCCTTTGAACCATCGAGTCTGCACCAACAAAACGACTCTAAATCTACATAGTCCTACTTTCCAGACTTCACTTAATGTTCTGACACTAAGTAGTCATCCAAGCACTTTTTAAAGATCATGAGGTTTCCCGCTTTAAATACCTGCTATTCACCTTAAAATTATCCAATGACACCTCAATTAAGTAGAACATCTGCTTCCGATGCTCCCTGCTCATGCTCCTCCATAATCCGAGACACCTCAACCAGGTCCCCTCTCAGCTTTCTCTGCTGTAAATAAAACAACCTGAGCTTATCCAGCCTCTCTTCATAGTTAAAATACTCCATCCTGGGAAATAACCTGGTAAAATCCTCTGCAGCCCTCCACATCCTTCCTACAGTGCACTGACCAGAACTGTACACAATACTCCAGCTGTGGGCTAACCAAAGTTTTGTACACCAATACAACCTCCCTGCTCTTATAATCTATGCCACAGGTTGCAGCTGAACTGGAGGGACACTAATATCCTGGGCGGGAGGTTTGCTAGAGCTCTTCAGGAGGGTTTAAACTAGTTTGGGCAAGAGGATGGGAACCAGAGCTACAACTCAGAGGATGGGGTAGCTGGTGTACAGGTAGATATAGCAAACAAAGAATCTGTGAGGAAGGATAAGCAGTTGATAGGGCAAAGTTGCAATCAATGCAACGGGTTGAGGGGTGCCTATTTTAACGCAAGAAGTGTCAGGAATAAGGGTGATGAACTTAGAGCATGGATCAGTACTTGGAACTACAATGTTGTGGCCATTACGGAGACTTGGATAACACAGGAGCAGGAATGGTTGTTGGATGTTCCGGGGTATAGATGTTTCAAAAGAAATAGGGAGGGAGGTAAAAGAGGTGGGGGAGTGGTATTGCTAATCAGGGACGGTATCACAGCTGCAGAAAGGGAAGTCATGGAGGAGGGTTTGTCCACCGAGTCAGTATGGGTGGAAGTCAGAAACAGAAAAGGAGCAGTCACTTAATGAGGAGTTTTCTATAGACCCCCCAATAGCAACAGAGACACTGAAGAACAGATTGAGAGACAGATTGTGGAAAGGTGCAGAAGTAATAGAGTTGTTGTCATGGGTGATTTCAACTTCCCTAATATAGACTGGAACCTCCTAAGTGCAAATAGTTCAGATGGAGCAGATTTTTATCAGGTGTGTCTAGGAAGGATTTCTGACTCAATATGTAAATAGGCCGACTAGAGGGGAGGCCTTATTGGATTTGATGCTTGGCAACGAACCAGGCCAGGTGTCA